ATAACGAAGGCTATAAAATATGTAGGTACAACTTAGAAACTAAATCCTATGTGTACTTATCTGTATTAATAACCAAATATCTAAGGTAGGTTGATGCGCTCCTTAGTTTTTATATAGTTCGTATTATTCTGTAATAAATAAAATCTAATCCAAAATATACTATAATACCATAGCAAAGCTACTACTATTTTATTTAGTAGTAGCTTATATAGTAGTATAGTAAATTATATATAAAAAATAGGAGTATCCTTTTTGGCGAGGTGGTCGCGGGGGGATTGATCCAAATATAGTAGCTTTTGCTGCTTTTTTTGTGGGTGGCTTTTGGCGGGACTGATTTTTTTGGGGTCGGCAAGTCTTGTCTGAGGTAAGGTTAAATATAAACAAATATTTTGCCAAGTGCGAATCGGACTTCCGAGCTTCCGATTACAAGATTTAAATACCTATACATATTACTATCGATCAAAAAAAAGCCAAATATACACGTTTCTTTTTCTAGTAAAAAATCCTTTAATTTCATATTTATTTTTACCACTTGCTGTTATAGCGGCAACAGAAATACACGTTCTGTGAAAATTACAACCATCTACCTATTACGGATCATGAGATGCAGCCCGCTGAAAGACAGACACACGGACAGCGGAGGCTCCGTAATAGGGCCCTGCTGGTTACCCCTCGGGTACGGAATCCTAAAAAGTACTTAGTTGTCCACTCACATCTGTATGATTCTTTCTTCAAAGGACCATATTAGCCTGGTTCTCGTATGACATGACCAATGTAATACCTGGACAGACCTCTCTGAGTGTGTTTCGGCAGATCGGGTGCTTCTTCTCAGTTTCATGTTTTTGTTGTGTTAGTGTTTTTAAAAAAAAAACAACTTACAAAACACATTTTATTTATCATTGACTGCCCTTCTTAGATTATTATGTACTTACATAAATTACATTAGGTATATTAGGATATGAGATTCCTATACGTAAGCACGATTATCGACAATTAAAAATTACCTATTCTAAATAAATTAATAGATAAGTTTAAGATTTTCAATAATCGTGCTTATTTATGAGATGTTTTCGTTAGTTAGCAAATGAAAGTAGTTAAGTAGCTAATGTACTATGTATCGAAAGTTCATTATTATGTACCTACCAGTTTTCAATTTTAACTAATGTGCTTCAACAAACTTATGGGCACATTTTAGCAGCTATATTCATCCCGGCTTCAGCAATGGACACGAACAAAAGGAAGCAATTTTTCTAAATAAAGATGTAGATATGTAGGTATTACAACCATAAATAGATAGCAGCGGCTAACCTAGTTAGTATGTGAGTGCGCGCTGCGCCCCCCCCCCTCCGTCCGTCCCACTGATCGGGGAAACAATTTGTAGCGAAAGGCAAGATGATTTATAACAAAAACGGACGCGCGAAATTTTATAAACAGACCTTTGGTAGTCTGGATGTCACGAAAAATCTATTGAATGTAGCTGTTTAAAATAAAATTATTTGCATTTTTGAACAGCTAATCTATGCCTGTATGGTAACTGTTTTGCAATTTTCGTTCTTCTTATGGTATTTATTTCCGCCCAAAGATGTGTTAAAAATAGTGTTGAAATTCGGAATTTTCGTCGCTTATAACTGTTAAACATACTCTTTTTTTACTTTTTTGTTTCCATACAGGGCTAGATAATGATGAGACAAATTGAAATCATTTTTTATTTTAACGTACACCATCAAACAGTGGAGTAATCGCCGGACTACGTTTGTATAGAAGAATAAGCGACTAGTGTATCCTTAAAGTCATACCTTCGTTTAATTCGGGATCTTCGTTTTCATAGATTATTTCATATTGCAAAGTTTTAGGGAGATTTTGACGACAGCTCAACCCAGCGGACAGTCGATGACGACAGTCACCCAAGTTCATAAGGCGCCTAAGCGATCAAAATATTTAAAAGTTCATTGTTTATATCAACATCGAAGCATTTGTTTCGCCATTTTCTCTAATAGTTCACATGCGCAGACACTTAATACACAAAATCAAATCACTTTTACGTATCAAAATCTACTTCGAACAAAACCGTCGACGGGCGATCAAGTTCCCGCCAAAATTTCGACTGTATGCTATTTTGCTTCTATGCTTAGAGTAATTACATACATATGTGCTAGATATTACATAAGCTTCTATAACTTTATAACTTTATAAACACAATCATAATCGTTACCGCCTTTCATAATTCCACTGCTGAACGTGACCCACTCCCAAAGAATGCTACAAAAACAGTCCTGAGCCACCTGCATCCATCGACCTCCATGTCATAGTAGTGGAAGGCTTACTCCATCTAGCGGAGGGCTGCGTCACACTTTTCTTATTGGTACGAGGCTGCCACCCGAGAACCTTGCTTCCCCATCAGTTGTCGATTCTTCGAGCGAAATGGCCGGCCAATTGTCACTTCAGTTTACTAATCCGTCAGGCTATGTGGTTATTCTAGTACTACAGCGGATATTCTCATTTCGCTCGCTGATCGATTCTGAGCTTCCTCATATGGCCAGCAAAGACCACGACTCAGATTCATAAGCCATCACTTGCAACACGCACTGGTTGTTTAATTTTGTTTCCAAGTTTTGAGGTTATACCTGACGAGAAAATATATCGTAATCTAAGTCAAGTTAAATCCGTCGATTGACCTCTTGGCCGAATGTGGACTTACCTAACGGACTATTTGTCTCAGGTAAACACTCTTCAACAACTTCGAGTTTAGTGCTACCAACAACTACCGACATGGGTGTGACATGAACGCTACACAGGAGTTTCGTTTTGTTCATGTTCATCTTAAGACTTATCCGTTGGCACTATTGAGATTATTGAGCATAGTGCTTAGGTCCTCTAGTGACTAGTGATTCTGCTATAAGGACTATATCGTCAACAAATTGAAGGTGAGTGATTTACCCGCCATTGACGTTAATACCCTATCCTTTCCAGTCCAGTAGTTTGAAAACGTCTTCCAGTGGAGTGGTGAAAAGTTTCGGTGATATTACGTCACCTTGTCTTACACCACTCTGCAGTTAGATAGGTTTCGTACTCTGGTTCTGTACTCGTATAGCCATCGTAGCCCTACTGTACAAACACTTCAGCACTTCGATATACCGACAGTAAACTTGACACCGCTTAAGGGACCGTAGCACCGCCCAAATTCCGACGGAATCAAAGGCTTTTTCATAGTCCATATACGCAAGGCCTTAGCCTTATGACAGTCACTTATGACAGATTGTACTCTTTGGTATTCTGTATAATTTGCCGAAGGGTATATGTGTGGTCTGTGGCCTTTTCGGAAACCGGCCTATTCGGGAGGCTGGAAGTCGTCGAGTCTGCGAGCAAAACGACTCTCTAAAAGAGCACTTAGATGCGGCTCAGAAAGGAAACAAAGGTCTATATTTCTTCAAGAGAGAGTTGTCGCATTTCTTGAAGAACAAGATTACAGCACTTCTGCTCCAGGCTTCCGGAGTAGTGCCATCCTGGTGGACGGAATTAGGAAGTTTCTGAAGAACTTCGTATGGGTTTTGTACCCACTTTCAGAAAAAAGTTAAAGTTACAGCCTATAAACGTCCCACTAATGGGCCCAGGTCTCCCCTCGTTTCTAAAAGGGTTTCAGAAGCTTCACTGTAATTTCATCCTCGCCTTGTTACTGTGCTGGAGAGCCATTCTAATCTCGCACAGACTGACGTATATATCATCGGAACAGTGTCGGATAAGACTTGCTCTTGGATCTTTGCTCATACTACCGTGTAGCTCCAACGATGATGTGTACAGCTGCCCATAGACCTCTCAATCTTAATGTAACAACAATTGAAATTAAGAGTCCGTGGTGTGAAAGGTTCGAAAGTGGGTATTAAAAAGTTAAATATACGCGATAAATTCCGTAAAAACTAGTATTATCTCTCAATCTCATTCAAAATCTCAGGTGTCCCGGAAACTATGCTGCCACATTCAGTCTTCAGCTTCGACAGTTGGCTCTTTCTGGCAAACAGATCTTTGACAAAGACTTTGAAGACCTGGTTTCACTCGGTCGCTTCTTTAATACGAGCTGTATTAAAGTAACGTTAGTCCCGCCGCATGCATTTGGATTTTGAAGATGTCTTTCGATATCAGCAGATTTGACACTATACAGGAAATTGTATTGTGATAGAACCGTGCTGCAGCTGTATTGTGGTTGTAGCACGAATGGGTCGGCTCGACCGGAGAAGGACCACGCTCTCATAGAATACCAGTGTAAAATAGCAGCTTAATACTGCCGTGTTTCGTATTGTGAGTGTAGAGATCCGAAAACCCTTTTTTACTGGTTACGAGGCATTCCGTCTTGGTCCTCAGGGTTGACAGCGCACCTGCGTTTTGATTCTTAATCGAGGATAAATGTGGATTTCTATGGGCCACAGCATCCACGCACCATCAGGTGAACTGGACTGGTGTGCTCGTTTGTCACCCTTATTCTATATAAAATAAAAAAATAAAAAATAAGTCTACGTTATGTGTTTCCAGCCAGGCCTGCAGGCCGACTTTTGTTGACTCCATCGTGGGTTTTCTATCGACTTGTACAGAATGATAAGCAGCGTTATCCATGACAATTATCTAATGTGGTGGTAAATTTGACAATAATTTTTTTGTACATTTATTAAAATTTTGAAAGTTCATATCTTTATAATAATTTCCGGATTTATATTTGATTCAAAGTTATTTGGCTAGAACAACGAGTATATAATCATTATATTATGCTAGAGGAGTGTGGTTCGATATAGAGCAGTATTAGTTTTGTGTGTTGTTTGTTACCATGACAACATATTATGTCATCATATGTTTGTGTAGGTAATCATAGAATGAATACCTATAAACTGTGTTTTTTTTTAATAAATTAACCTATTATTTACAAAAATCAGTAATCACTAATAATAATATTAATATTGTCCGAACAAAGGGAAGACCAACCTACTTACAAGGAAGTGCCCCTTGATGCCAAAATGCAAACATCAAGTGTTCAGCCAGTGTTTAAATTAGAACTAAACCACAAAGTAACACCAAGCGTTGTAACAATAGCAAAATATGATGGTACACATCCTTGTTTGACTGCTTCGGCTGGATATGATAAAGTATGGATATTTTTCAACAAAAATCTTTAGAAAGTAGTAATTTTTTCCACTATGAAATTTAATTATTAAAATAAAAAGTAACGTACATACATATGAAAACTTCGCAATGATAAATTATAATACGCAATGAAAATAGATAAATTTTAATTATTTTCACAGAAATCAGCGAAAATACTTTAAAAAAAACATACGCGTCGAAAAAAATACCCCCTCCTTTTTGAAGTTGGCTGGAAACAGCGTACCTATTAAAATCAAGCTAAAATAATGCTTAACTTGTTGTAAAAATACGCACACATATGAATCTTAAATAATTTGTAACCAATACATGGTTTAAATATCTTAGGGAAAGAAAAGAAAGTGTGCGTGAGGTTTCGTTACTTGATTTGTACGCAGCATTCGGTTTATCTTTCTTTGCTAGTCTGATATACGCAGTAGTTCCAACAATTCCTGCAATCAAAAATCCAAAATATAGTCCATTTGCTATATTACTTACTGAACCGTTAGTGATCTCGTTATAATGCTAAGCAACACAACAACATGTTTTGTCTATATATGAAATTAACGTCTGGTTTTAGATTATAATTCACCACCCATATGGAGAGATAGCGAGCGGACGGGCCCAGCGTTCTCATGCGCATGGAGAAGTATCCGAACTGAATGTGAGCCAAGCAGTAATAGCGCTGGCAGCCGGTCCTCTGAAACCAGATTCCTCGAGAGATATGTTACTGATTGGATCACCTTCTCAGATACTCGGTATTATCACAATATTTTTAGGATAGAGACTGTACTAACTGCTTTATCTTTTCCATGTGTTTATTTAGTCAGACTGCTTACGTCTCCATTGTCAGGATAAAACTCAAGTAATGCTATCGAGTGTTGGTGGCATAAAATTCATCATTCCATTTTGTCAATAAACATCTCCTAAGGCTTGCGTGTGGCATTCGAGTTACCACTTTTAATATATATTAATGTACTCTGTGGTCACCTCAGAACACTAGATAATATTCTTGGGCACCACGATCCACGACACAAGTGCGAACGTTGGAAGTTACCGACTTCGTGTGAATCGGACGCGCCATCACATACAAGCCCGCGTCGTCTATTACTCTTTCACTCGGTGCTTAGGCTAGAGCCGGCGCGGCGCGTCTTCTTATACACCGTACAGCGTTTGGACTATGGCGAGTCCTTGCTTGGTAGAGACTAATGTACAGCAGGTGCCAGAATAGTATAGATAGTTGCAGTACAAAAAATAATCTAACGTACAATTGACAGTGTTTATTTTCATTATAGCGTTTAACAAATAAGTACGAGCTTCGTCAAGTACGATTGGAAACGAGATAAACATTTAACATGATTTTTTTTTAAATATTTGACGAACGTATCGATAGACTATTCGGGAGATGAGATATCGTTTCCGAGACTCATTTTCCAGAATTATTGAGATACGATACAAGTACAGTGTCTAAAGGAGACTCATAACATACTATTTTATGTTGAAAACATAATTTTGTCACATTTAAATTTATTCCAGCATACGATGTTCACGATAACTCTGACCTCTTCTTCAAAGAAGCACCAGACGGCGTAAATATACTAATAACAGGCATCTTTGGCAAATATCATGAGATGCTCGCTATTGTTGGCGGCAATAGTTCCGTACAGGGTCTCAATTGGGAAGGAAATGAGGTGTTCTGGAATGTTGTCAGTGGAAAAGTGTGTTCTATGATCACCTTTGATTTTGACAAAGACGGTGAAAATGAGGTAAAACCGCTTAGATACAATTAGTCCTTTATTTTGAATCATCATCATAATCATTGGATTATATTACAAATTCACTACTAAACTCCTCCACCAAAGACTATCAAAAAACACTGTCCCAGCCACATGAATTCATAGACTTATGGCACGTCTAACCGGGTCGACACACGCACTTAGTGGGAGCCTTCAACAGTGGTAGAGCCACGCGGCAGCTTTGCTGTTGCACGTATAGACCGGCTCAAACCGGGGTGGTACCACGACCTCACAGAATACAGGCGTGAAGTGGAAGCTCTGCTTCCGCGTTTCGTCCCCCCTCCCATCAACATGGTAGCGGAATCAAATGATGATAGACTACCCTAGGAGGGTATAAGCACCCCTGGAGAATCCCTCGCTGAGCATCCACGACCATGTTTCTCCACTTCTGAGCGTGGGTGCTCAGGCTGCCCCGCGTATTCAGGGGGGGAGGAGCAAAATTCCGCTTAAGACTACAACTGCTCGGGGCAAACGGAGCAACAAGACCAAGGCGACCCCTGCCACGCTGTCCGTGAATTTCTGCAATATCAGGGGACTTCACTCTAACCTAAATGCCGTCCACTACCATCTCGAGACGGCGAGGCCGGCTCTGCTCTTTCTGACCGAGACGCAGGTGTCCTCTCCGGCTGATGTCTTGTATCTCTCCGACCCGGGGTACAAACTGGAACACTCCTTTGTGCCTCGGGCTGGTGTTTGCGTTTACGTCAGAAAGGACATCTGTTATCGACGCCTCGGCAGACTTGAAGGTTCGGACCTTGTCCATCCTTTGGCTACGCATAGACAGCGGCGACCATCCGCGCGTCTACGGGTGCCTCTATAGGTCCCATAGCGGTAATGCCGAAACAGACCGACTCTTCGACCACGTCCAAATGGCTACAGATTCGTTGCTACAGCATATCCCCTCCGCAGAGATCGTGATCCTCGGCGACTTTAACGCTCATCACGCCGAATGGCTTGGTTCACGTTTAACCGATCATGCGGGGAGATCTGTTCATGATTTTGCCTTGGCATATGGTCTGACACAACTGGTTACTTCGCCTACGCGGATTCCAGATGTGGAGCATCATGCACCTTCCCTGTTGGACCTTCTGCTGACCTCTCACCCGGACGGATATCAGATTTCCGTCGACGCCCCTTTAGGCTCCTCGGACCATTGTCTTGTTCGGAGTGTGGTGCCACTCACGCTGAAATCACAGTTGCATTCTGCAGGCTGCCGCCGTGTTTGACACTATAGGTCAGCCGATTGGGATGGGATGCGGTCTTTCTTTGCATCCTACCCTTGGGGACGGGTTTGCTTCTTGCCGGACGATCCCAACGTTGTTGCGGATTCTGTCGCTGATGTGGTACTTCAGGGTATGGAACTTTTTATTCCTTCCTCTGTGGTGTCCATTGGAGGCAAATCTCAGCCATGGTTTGGTCGCTCTTGTAAAATAGCATCATGCTATAAGCAGGAGTGCTACCAAGCCTGGGCTGACGCATCAGCGTCCCGGGATGTAAACACCAGCGCTCTAAAAAAGAAGTATAATTCCGCCTCTATGTCCTTCAAATGAGTCATTGCCAAGGCAAAGTCGAGCACATAGGCAGAATTGGCGAGAAACTAGTTCGCCTTCCTTCTGGAACCCGTGCATTCTGGTCTCTCGCCAAGGCTGTCCAGGGGAATTTCTGTCAGCCATCTTTTCCATCGCTGCACAGGGAGGACGACTCACTGGCCCATACCGCAAAGGAGAAAGCCGATGTTCTAGGCTCTTTCTTTGCGTCCAACTCGACTCTCGATGACGGGGGGAGTACGCCGCCGACCATCCCGCGGTGTGAGTGCTCCATGCCGGAAGTGCAGTTCACACAGCGCTCGGTTCGCAAAGCACTCCTCTCCCTGGACATCCACAAGTCGAGTGGGCCTGACGGAATCCCCCCAATTGTGCTGAGGACGTGTGGTCCAGAGTTGGCACCGGTTTTAACGCGTATTTTCCGGTACTTCTACTCCCTAGGCGTAGTCCCAAAATCATGGAAGACGGCTTTCGTCCACTCGATCCCTAAAAAAGGCGACCGCTGAGATCCGTCCAACTACCGGCATATCGCCATCACCTCCTTGTTCTCCAAAACAATGGAGTCCATTGTAAACTGCCAGCTCATGAGGTACCTTGAGGATCACCAGCTGATTAGTGACCGTCAATACGGTTTTCGCCGTGGTCGATCAGCTGTTGATCTTCTGATCTACCTAACTCACAGATGGGCGGAGGCAGTAGAGTTCAAGGGGGAGGCATTGGCCGTTAGTTGGGACATTGCGAAGGCCTTCGATCGGGTTTGCCACAAAGCGCTTCTTTCGAAGCTCGCTTCCTATGGACTCCCCGAGAAATTGAATCGCGATTGGATCACGAGTTTTCTTGCAGATCGGGCATCAAGGTCGTTGTAGACGGTGCAAGCTCCGATTGCAAGCCTATTAATGCGGGTGTTCCACAAGGTTGCGTGCTATGGCCAACGCTGTTTCTTCTGCATATCAATGATATGTTGCAAACCCGTAACATTCATTGCTATGCAGATGACAGCACTGGTGATGCTCTTTACACCGGCCGAGCCAACATTACTCGGGAAAACGTCTCCGAGTGCCGGGACAAACTTGTGTCTGAAGTCGAGTCTTTGCTGAACAGTCTCGGATTGGGGGCGACTAAATCTAGTCCAGTTTAACCCCCAGAAGACACAAGTTTTCGCGTTAACCGCTAAAAAGAACCCCTTTGTCGTATCTCCTCAGTTTCAAGGCACTCCCCTTGTTGCCTCAGCCAGTATCGGAATCCTCGGCGTCGACATATCGAGTGACGTGCAGTTTCGTGGTCACTTGGAAGAGAAGGCCAAAATGGCCTCTAAAAAGCTTGGCGTGCTCAGCAGAGCGGGACAGTATTTCATGCCGGCACACCGCCTGCAACTTTACAAGGCGCAGGTTCGGCCGCACATGGAATACTGTTCCCATCTCTGGTCTGGGGCTCCCCAGTACCAGCTACTTCCACTTGACCGCATCCAGCGCAGAGCGGCTCGAATCGTCGACGACCGAGTGCTTTCCGATTGGCTCGATTCAGTGGTAGTCACTTAACATCAGGTGAGCCGCATGCTCGTTTGCCCCCTCTTCTATAAAAAAAAAGCCTGCCCTACACTTCGGTTTCTGAAATAAGGCTGCCACTTAAGAACCTTTCTTTGCTATTGGCTGTCAGTTACTTAAACTGTACAGTGCTTTAACCAGCCCATTGTCACGTTTACCTAATACTTTCATATTACATTATTATTTATTATGTTCGTGTTCATTTATGTGATGTGAAAAATACAATATTGGACATGTTTTACCGAAAGAATAAAAAGGTCCTGTTTTATGATAAAAACCTAAGAAATAACTTTAAATGTGCCTGTGTTTTAACCTATTGTTGTTAGAAATTTTTAACACTTTAATGTTTTTCTTTTTGATCTGGCAACACTGAGTTTGACATATTCCCCTTATACCACGATATTAAATCATAATTCTAGTGATTTAAAAGTCCACCACCCATCACAATTTTTATACCATGACCATTGGCATATTAATGCATATTCATTGATACAAAATATTTGTATAAATTAATATGCAACAATGCCAACTAAACAGCTGCACGATGTGCGCGAATAATTTCTATAAATCGTATCGGAAAAAATTAAATCGATTTATATCTTTATTTATAAAAAATCAAAAACTTTTTACGCCGCGAGAAAGTAGAAAATACGTTTTTCTTGTAACATATTGATCTGAGAATATTGAAACCACTGCGAATCGTTTGCAAATTAATTATCAATTCTGTAAATATTGCCTTTATTGCGTTATTCGCAATAGATACTGAGTAATAAATCAATTATTTTTTCGTCAACTAATCTACACCTATTCGGGTGGTTCATGTATCATATTGTATAAATCGTATCGGAAAAAAATTACATAATTACGGAATCGTAAGAAATATTTGTAATCTTAAGTAAAAAAATTATCAGTTTATAACTTTATTTATAAAAAACCAAAAACTGTTTACGCCGCGAGAAAGAAGACAAATACGTTTTTCTTGTAAGATATTGATCTGAGAACATTGAAACCACTGAGAATTGTTTGCAATTTAATTACCGATTCTGTAAATATTGCCTTTATTGCGTTATCCGTTACTGAGTAATAAATTAATAATATTTTAGTCAACTACTCTACACCAATTCGGGCGGTTCATGTACCATATTGTATAAATCGTGTCGGAAAAAAATTAGATAATTGCGGAATCTTAAGAAATATTTCTAATCTGAAGTAGAAAATTGTCAGTTGATAACTTTATTTATAAAAAATCAAAAACTTTTTACGCTGCGAGAAAGTACAAAAATACGTTTTTCTTGTAAGATATTGATCTGAGAACATTGAAACCACTGCGAATTATTTGCAAATTAATTACCGATTCTGTAAATATTGCCTTTATTGCGTTATTCGTTACAGATACTGAGTAATAAATTAATAATTTTTTCTTCAACTACTCTACACCTATTCAGGCGGTTCGTGTACCATATTGTATAAATTGTATCGGAAAAAAATTAGATAATAGCGGAATCGTTAGAAATATTTGTAATCTGAAGTAAAAAAATTGTCAGTTTATAACTTTTTTATAAAATTTGGACAAATATTTCGAACGATTCCGCGATTATCTAATGTTTTTCCGCTACGATTTATACAAATTATTCGCGAACATCGTGTAGCTCAACTAGACAGCTAAACCTGCCCCCGTCGTTGCAAGGATTTGCTTTAATCTTCTCGCTTGGCAAGATTGACGATCGAACTAGCAGACGTCTTGCAGCTTTGACGACGGAACCCGTCGCCGATCTGGGTATTTTACGTAAGCCAGATGGCTATACCACAGTCTACTTATCGGAAGCCTTATAGGATTTTTTGGATTTTTTTATTATAGAATAAGGTTGATAAACAAACACACACTTCACCTACTGGTAACTACCGCACCGTACTGTAGATGTATACAAAATGTGTGTATTGCATTAGGTGCAGTGTGTAAGCATTTTGATAACGCTCGTGGCTGTATGCTGTAATTGGCCGAATTACTACCACCAGCGAAACTTTTTTTTTTGAATAAGGGTGCCAAATGAGCTCTCAGTTCACTATCAGGTGAGTGGATGCTGTGGCCCATAAACATCTACATCTGTCCTCGATTAAGAATCAAAATGCAGATGTGTTGTACCGTCGAGGACTAAGACGATGCCTCGTTGCGAGTAAGAAGAGTCTCCGGTTCTCAAAACTCAGCACCCGAAACACAGCTGCATAAAGCGGCTATTTTGCGCTGGTATTCTGTGAGAGCGTGGTACTACCTCGTTCCAGTCGACACATACGGTGCTGCAACCATAATATAGCTGCCGGCGTAGCTCTACCATGTTTAGATTCCCATAGTAGCCTCCGGCGACAGCCACAGGTCCAAATGAGGTGGTGCATTCTCATACGCCAGCAGTTGGCTTTCATTATATTAACTAAAACATATGTTATTTTTATAGTTACTGATTGGATGTGACGACTCTTATATAAGAGTATTAAAGAATAATCAGTTTATATTGGAACTCGCCGAAACTGGACCAGTAACTTGTCTTTCCCCGATCACTGAAGTTAGATTTGCTTACGGATTAGCAAACGGCACTATTGGAATATATGAAGAAGGCTTACGTCTATGGAGGGTTAAGGTAAATTCTCTTAAGGCTCGATGACACTGGGCTAGTTTACAAGCTACAAGCCACCGAGTTCGCAAGCAGCTTGTAAACTCCGTGTCATTCTGTTTTTTTACAATCTGCTTTTGAGTATGCAATTGTAAAAAGCTGCTTGAAAAATAAGAAAGCCGGGCTAATTTACTTGCCATTCGCTGGCGTGTTGGCCTGTAAGCTAGTTAACTAGCTGTGTGTCATCATCGCTGCTGTTGAACTAGTTGCGAGCATCTTTTCGTTTTGACAGTTTAAGCTAAAATGTTAAAGGATGTAGTTCACGCGGGAGTAGTTCTTTTAGCTCATGTTATCAAGAAGGATTTACAACGAACACTAAAGAAAACCTTGAAAGAGAAAAGAAAATGGGTAAGATCGTGGATAGAAAAACGCGATGAATATGGTGCTTCCAGTGGTTTATTAAGAGAGTTGAAGGGCCAAGATTCTTTGGCTTATAGAAATATGTTGAGACTAGCTAGCTAGTTCGCTACTGAGTGAGTGGAAAGTTTTTTTGTGTCATCGACACTCGCTTACTCGCTAGCTAGCAGCTCGTAAACTAGCCCAGTGTCATTGAACCTTTAGTAAGTTACTCCTTTAAATTATACTATAGTTATAGCTGGTTCAGCAGACGTTGTCCTGCCTATTCCGGTAGGTGTCGCGATTCAAATTAACCCCGGACTTTTTAAATTGTAAAAATAAAATTTCTTAATAACTTAACCACCACTGCCACCTATACTGTCTAGATTTTTGTTTCTTTTTTGGCAATAAACTAACTTAGTATATAATGTTACTACGATAAATTTTGGCGCATGGATATAGAATTTTTTTAATAACTTGGTTTGAAATTGTTATATACTTATTGTCTCGACAAAACCAAATTGTAAGAAAATACAATAAAAATTGTAATAAATTACACGATCACTAACATAAACACATATTACCTTTAAAATTACTAATTTAAAATTATTAAATCTTCTTAATTTTGTTGAAAAAAAGTTTATTAAACGATTTTCAGTCGTAAGTAAATGAAGAAATTTTTTTGTTAATAATGATTGCATGCATTTATTATGTATGGTATTTTTCTTGATTTGATATGGGTGTTTAGTCAGGTGTCTGCAAATGCGCAAATAATCCTACAAAGATTTCCGATCTTTAATACAACTTAATTAAAATTAAAAAAAAAAGTAAAAGGTGCAGTCTAAATAATTGATGTTGGATACAGGATCTTCACAATTTTAAATGGGGTTTAGGGCAATGGAGTGCCCACCGCGCTTACCGGACTTCATTTGTCTTCAAAGTATTTCATTTCTCGGACATGCGGGGTTCCTAATAATGTAATCCTTCTTCTTACAATTGCAAATATTCATTAATAAATTTCATTAGGGCACGCGGGGATTGAACTTTGAAAACGAGCACTTAGCCCTTGTGCTGCCTCGGCTCTATAACTTTATTAGGTACTTACTTTGACTGTTTATTGGATATGTATGACAGAGATTTATCCCGAACCAATGGTAATTAACATAAAGAGTGACTTTCAATAAATATTGGTAAATCTATTTTGAATAAAAAAGTTTCTGTTTCTGTATTATGCTAGGAGCTAGAATCGTAGATATTTACGATTGTGAATAATTACAATTTTCTGATATTATCCGTAAATTAAATAAACAACTACCTATAATAATTTCAATGTTTCTACTGTACTTGACTTCTTGAATACATTTTAGCTGATATTTTAATAGACCTTTGTAGGGTTATTTTTTAAATTCAATATGGGGTTATTTCTCAAAGAGTAGCCAAATTTTAAACTTAAGTTCAAATACGAGTATATAAATAATGGTATAACGTTATTGCAGTTTTTGAAAATGCGAGTAAATAAGGCCTCCAATTTTATTTGAAATTATCCCAAATTGTATGTGATTTATGGGCAACAACGTTTTTGCCTACCGATCATAATTCATAATGTGCGCGTGCGTAGTAAAGAAATAGTGCATTTCCACTCATTTTCAATTTAAAATATAATAAGGATAGAATTTTTGAGGTTTTATAAATTAATTTTTCTTCGCCATTTGCCTATATTACTTATTCTGAACCTTCTCTGCAAATTTGACCGGTTATTGCAAAATAACCCTGTATGAGATAATTATATACAATTAATTTATAGTCAAAGCAGAGTGCGATCGCTTTGCAATGGTCGGGCGAGTCGCTGGCCTGCGCGTGGGCAAACGGACGGTTGGACTGGCGAGATGGTAGTTCCGGCCGGGTGCTTCGTCGTGTGCAGATGCGCGCTGGCGCCGCCGCCATGTTGCTCGCAGACTACCGCTCCGTTGGCACACCAGACCTCATATGCGTGTCAGATAGGGGCGAAGGTATATCTTGCGATGCACAGTAGACCTTCATAGGCCTGCACTCCCCTTCTTGATATTTTCCTAGACTTTCTTATTTAATTATTTTCTCACTTTGAGTATTCAACCAATTTCTCATCAATTAGGTGAAGCTCCGTGGATTTATTGGGAATATATAATAGGTATGGTCATATTAATGCGTACTTATATATTATACATCGATTACATAGGCCGCTCTTTTATGCTTTTTCTGCAATTTTTCTGCGTACTTATCACCCAATCATCACTTAAGGTTGTTTGGAAGAGTAGCGATATGACCGCCCATTGTACCACATTTCTTTTTTCTCCTTTATTTGTTCATATTTAAGTTTTTTTGCATATAATAAAGTGTTATCTATCTATCTAAATTAACAACAACTTTAAGTCTGAATTAAAGTTTAAAAAAAAACGTTACTCCCACGCTAGGATTTTCGCCTGTATCGTGGACGCATTTTACATACGTGAATTGCACACGAACCTTATGGCGACTGTACACGCTCGTCGAGACACCACGAGACAGGCTGAGTATGAGTGTGTACATGGTGCTCTCGTTGCATCTCGTGGCCCTTGTTCGTTCTCAGAAGCGTGTTGGTTTCTTGCGCTCGAGTCAGAGTCTCGTTTGTCTCGCGATGAAAACGAGTGCGTAATATATTCTATTCACATTACATGGTTTAGTTACGGTAAATAGAAACCATCCACTATCTTCTTCTTCGCCGTGGCTTATTAATTTTATTTTTATGGTAAATGTGTAAAGAGTTATAATAACTAATAGCACAAAGGCAAAACGCAGCAACAGTTTAGGTCCATCTCAGCGGGCATACGGAGTTCAAATGATACAACGAGTGTGTACATGGTGTGTTCTCGTGTCGAGCCTCAACGTGCGTGTACAGCCGACATTAGACATGGGCAAACTACAAGGCCCGGAATTTTTTTCGAAGCTCGTGTTCCGTGCGGGATTCGAGCACGTAGTTGCGCAGTCACAGAATAATATTATAGTTACTGCAATGTCGTTGTGTCGTAGCTCGTAGTAAAACGTTAGTCAACGCGCTAGAGAGCACACTTACTGTACAAAAATATAATATAATACGATGGTAGGTGAAGTAGGCAACAACTGAAACGAACGGAGGTAGATTTAATACTCTACAAATACTGTTCTTTATTGAGCACCTTCTCAAAAATTAGGGGAGGCCTGTGCCCAGCAGTGAGACGTATATAGGCTGTAACTTTAACTTTTAACTTTTTAAATACTGTTCTTTATTGAGCATATTATGACCTTATATATAGATTGGTGTACAGGTGGGGTAGGTAGGTAAATAAGACTCATGTTTTATGGCGCCTGTACGCACTCGTTGTATTATTTAAACTCCGTATGCCCGCTGAGATGAACTTAGATGAAACAGTCTGCGTTTTGCCTTTGAGCTATTATAACTTTTTACACATTTACTAAAAAATAAAATTAATAAGTCATTGCGAAGAAGGAGATGGTGGATAGTTTCTATTTACCGTAACATTACCATGTACGGTGAATAGATTAGAGTACGCTATGGTTTTTAACGCGAGACTCACGAGATCCTTTGACTCGAGCGTAAAAAACCGACACGCTTCCAAAGAGCGCACGAGGGCCACGAGACGCGACGCGACGCGACGAGAGCACCATGTAAACTCACACACTCACACCCGTACTCGGCCAGTCTCGTGGTGTCGCGACGAGCGTGTACAGCCGGCATTAAACCATGTTTACATTTGGATCAAGTTATATGGTGTCTTGTAAACATTTCTATATTTGTCCAAAATAATAAATTATAAAGTTTTTCGTCAAGAAATTCTCAGTAGCTGCCTCGATTCAGGAAGTTGGCGATGTCTCACCCCCGTGCCTCGGAAAGCACGTAAAGCCGTTGGTCCTGCGGCTGATATCTCTCCGGTCGTGTCGGTTTACCGTCCCATCGGATTATGAGTGTGAGGGAATAGAGAGTACACCTGTGCTTGCGCATACACTTGGACACTATAACCCTGTTCTGCGACGATGGTTAGTCTCCGTTGAGGAAGACCACCGTGACCGAAATTCGGTCAGAGGGACATTATTATTACGTATCGCAAAACAAAATCCTCCTTTGAGGTAGTCGAATAAGAAGAACCTATTAAATTTATATGGAGCGTTGCAAATTCGGCGATAAAGTCGATATTAGGTAAATAATTATAAAATTAGGAAATTGAGAAAATAATAAAATAGAATACCTGATTGACCTGCTTAAACTTACCACCCATTTTTCATTTGTCATAACACAAAAATACCCAACAATATTTTAAAAACAAATTTCTTTTCCTAATAGTTTTGGGATATCCCCCATACCATGAGAATGTTGGTTTCAACGCGACGTCAAAGAAGCTTCCTTCAGAAGAGGACCGCTTAGCGATCACCGAACTGTTGAACAAGAAACAGGCGCTTATGGTTGAGTTGCAGCATTACGAGGCAAACGCCGCTAATGCGGGTCTAGACCCAGACGACCGACCTGCCACGGGCATGCCAACGAACACTCGTTTGCAAGTTGCAGTCAGTCCCGACGAAAACGAGGTATTTAAGCAAAGTTGTATACTTAATGGATGAGTTTGTGTATTTATAACTTAAATAACTTAGATAAAGAACGACGAGTGAATGCAGGAAATATAGTTAATGGTTTTCTTTATTCTATTGTGGGTAGTCAGAAAGTGTTCAAAAAGTCATGTATGGCAATTCACAATGCTGTGCTAGTCCTTAATGCATGGTAGTAAAAGTTGGGTGTGGCCGAAGAAGTATGAGGGTAAACTTATTATTGTAGATATGCGGTCACTAAGAAGTATTTTAGGAGTAATTTAGGAACCGACCAAACTGGTAATATATTGGTTGTATGTAGTAGACAAACACTTCAGCAATTTAATATACCGACAGTCAACTTGGTACCGCTGAAGGGACTGTAGCACCACCCAAATTTCGACGGAATTAAAGGCTTTTTCATAGTACACATACGAAAGGAAAAGTGGCAGATTGTACTCTTCGCTTTTCAGTACAATCTGCCGCAGGGTATGTATGTGGTCTAAGGGACAGAAGCCTTTTCGGAAACCAGCTTTTCAGGAAGCTGGAAGTCGTCGAATCTGCGTGCGAGAAGATACGTAATGACCAGAGTTCCCCAAAATTTTTTGTGTCGTAGACCCCTTGCCATGTTTTTCCGTGTTGGGTAGACCCCCTACTTACCTGATTTTGATTTCCTGTAAATTTCTAACTGTAGTGAAGCTTAGTGTTAAAAACTTAAAGTAAAAACACATGTTAATTTATACATTTATTAATTGAATTTAAATTAAAACTACTCAAAATAAAATTTTGTATCTGTTATGTAAAATATACGTAGCATTAAATAAACATAAAATAAACTATAAATAAAATAACATAAGCAATAAGTCAATATTTTAGTGAGAAGGATGAACCTGATGCTTTAATAATAAATTATCAACATTTGGCGTCAATTTTGTAAGGGTTAATCTTAAATCTCCTCGGCTAATGATGTCCAGTCTGTTTCTTTTTTTCGTTAGGAGATTGGTAACAGCGCTGAACCCCCTTTCCACTAGGTATGACGATGGAAAGGAAATTAAAAATTTCCTCGCTATATTCCATAATACGGGATAAGTAACGGGTATGTTGTTTTGCAGCCAGAATTACTGATATCCGTTTTTAAACTGAACCTTAAGTTCTTCGTTTGTACTTAGTTCAGTCAGTTCCTCTTGTATTATGACATTCGTTTCTTCTATGTCACCATATGGATTAATTATCCACGGTGGTATTACCATAGTCAAAATATCCTCAAACCTGGATTCAAAATCTGAATAGGATAGGATAGGATAGGATAAATGTTGAACGTAAGTTGAAAAATCGTCTTCCTGGCAGCTTGTCTGTGACAAATTGGGGAACTGAGAAAATTCGCCCTGTCCAATATTTTGCTTCATTAGTTTAACTTTGGCAAGAGCCGCCGCCTCCTCGCTCGCCTCGCCTCGTCGCCTTGTAATTGCAAATTAACCATATTAAATTTTGTAAACAAATCTGTTAAATAGGCGATGTCTGTATTCCTCTTCATTAAATTTTCTTTTAAAATTTTATCTTTAGTATCCAGAAATTCTAAAATAGTCTCAAAAAGTGGAAAAAATCTTGTCAAACATAAGCCTTTCGACAGCCAGCGTACTTCAGTGTGAAGGAGTAATTGATGAAAGTGTTCGTCATTTTCTTCACACAACTGCGCAAATAACCGCATATTCAACGCGTTGCTTCGGATTCGGTTTACTGCATCAATGACTAAATGAAGTGATTCATGCAATCTAACACTCAAATTTTTAGCAACTAAATGGCGTCGATGGATGACGCAATGTATTGCTAACACCCCTGACACATTTTGTTTTAAATAGCTTATAAATCCACGATAACGTCCAACCATGGCAGGTGCTCCATCTGTAGCTACTGATATTATATTTGCTTTTTCAATGAAGTAATCCTTCAAAACATGAAATATTGATTCACCTTTAGTGTCGGTTATCAAAGTTCTTGCGAAGAGCAGTTCTTCGTAGATTTCTTGATTCATAATAAAACGAACATATGCCAATAATAATGCTGCATTATCAGGTAAAGTTGACTCGTCCAGTTGTATAGAGAAATGGGTCGTTTGCAAATAATTACATAAGAAGCTTTCAATATCAGAACTCATTTTATCAATACGTCTTTCAACAGTATTGTTGCCTAAGGGAATTCTTTTAATGATATCAGATGCAGATTTGTGTAAAACAGTTTTTAAAACCTCTTCAACGGCTGGCAAAATTAACTTCTCTCTGATAGTATGCGGTTTTCCGGATTTTGCTATAAGTAACGAGATATTGTAAGACGCCCGCAAACCATCATCATTTCTTTGTGACGTCGAAGCGAACATTCTGTCCAGTGTAGGTCTCTTCTGAAGTTTATCTTTGAGTGTTTGAAAGTATTTCAAATCTTTCTCTGTTTTATCAGGGTGGCATCTTCTCAGATGATCTTGCAGTTTAGATGGTTTCATAGCGTCATTGCCCAAAACTTTGTTGCATAAAAGGCACATAGGCAATTGTTTGTCCGGCAATGATCAAATGAAGCCAAATTTCAAATAATCGACACTGTACTGTCTTCATTTCTTTTTTAGATTCGGACATGGCATCAATCATCTGTGGGCAAAATTAAATTATTTAAATAAGACAGAAAATCCAGCAGCTGTATATTAAAAATATTTTTTTGATTTTTCCGAAAACATTCCATAATTCGAACATCTTCTTGCAACAATTAGCTCGAATTACTGAGATCGCACTGTAATTATAATACCGATTGCTAAAACTTTCAAAAAGAAACTATTGAGGAGTACTCGTGCAATTTTGCATGATTGAATATTAAACTACTAATAACTAAAGTCATGATTGGCGTAATTTATCTATCTTTGCTAACTACGAGTACAAAACTAAAATTTAATAAAAAATAATGTGCTTACTTTTCTCCAGCACTCTCAAACAAAATAATACTGACTCACTATAATTTGTGTGATATACTATCTGTTTATATTTTTTTTAAATATTTTCTTAGCACTTTCCTTTTCAAGATTCAGGAAACGAATAAACGTATTTGTCCCACATTCGTATTTATAGAGTGACGAATTGAACAAATCAGTGCAAGGTAGCGAAGCTCTGAGACTGCCACTCTCAGGTTTTTACAAGTTCAAAATGTATTGCCACCACAAAGCGAATACCAACATCCTACAACTTACACAATTTTATAAACATATATAATAAATTTTTTACTTCATAGGTACTTTTATAAATAATGTATATGTTTTGATATTATAAGATACTATGATGTAAGTAAATAGGTACTATCAGTGTATGTGTTGAGATCCACTATCGTGGACCCTCATTTTCATTTCATGGACCCCCAAATTTTTTTTCGCTGACGTAAACCCCTTGCAAGTTGTCATAGACCCCTAGGGGTCGATATAGACCACTTTGGGAATCACTGAAAATGACTATCGAAAACGGTAGTGCCACCATGGAGGACGAAATTGAAGAACTGAAGTACTTTAAGTACCGGTGTTCTACCCGCTTTCAGAAGTTACGCTGTAATTCCATCCTCGCATGGGACCTTGCCGTTTTTAAGGTGCTGGAGAGCCATTCTAATCTCGCTCAGACCGACGTCCGGGTTATCATCGGAATAGTGTCGGATAAGACTTGCTCTTGGATCGTTACTCACACTTGCGTGTGGCTCCAACTATGATCTGGACAGCTGCCCATAGAACCTCTCAATCTCACTCAAAATCGCAGGTGTCCCGGAAACGATGCTACCACACTCAATCTTCAGCTTTGACAGTTGGCTCTTTCTGGTAGACAGATCTCTGGCAAAGACTTGGATCCCTGGTTCCGATCGATCGCTTCTTCAATACGGGCAGTATTAAAGTTTCGTAAATCCCACCGCATGCATTTGGAGATCTGTCTATTCAGTTAGGACAGGATCACGCTCTCATAGAATACCAGCGTAAAATAGCAGCGTAATACTGCTGTGTTTCGTATGCTGATAACCGGAGACCCTTATTACTGGATACGACGCATTCCATCTTAGTCCTCATCAGTGAGAACGCATCTGCATTTTGATTCGTAATCGAGGATAGATGAAGATGTCAATGGATCATAGCAACCACTTACCATCAGGTGGACTATGTGCACGTTTGTCACCTTTCCCCTATAAAAAAGCGAGAGGGGTACGTCAGGGTCGTGCAAAATGGGACTCCCAAGAACAAAAGAACATTGCCAATAGGCCAAGATGCGGCATGTGCCGAAGGGGCACTATATTTCGCGTACTGGAAATATAGGGCCAGAAGCTGAATGTTAATATCTTTTAATAAAGATTTTACATTAGATACGAGTACATTAGGTTGGAGGAGTAGAAGAACATAGAGAACAAGAAGGGACCTGTAGAGTAAACCGGATACCCTTTTTACGGGAATGCCTTATTCCATCTTAGATCTCAGAACGTCTCAACGTATCGCATTTCGATTTTAAATCGGATACTTAGACGGATACCTAGGTATCTATGTGATATAGCATATAGCAGCATCAGGTGATATCAATTAGCATCAGCTAATGGTAGTACCACCTAATGGTAGGTTAGGTAACCGCCGCTGGTTGTGCACATTGCAACACCATGAACTGTAATAAGTTGTAACAGTAACGGTAACGGCAATACGTAATATGTTTTTGTGGTTAATTCGTTCAAGGTTTTTTTTATTAAGTTTGTGGTTATTCAAAATTAATTTATAATTAAAGTGTATGTGTTGAATTGTACTTGGGGATAAAAGTCGGAAGAACAAACAAAAGTGAATTCCGATTATCTGAGTTAAGTTATGTAAGAGTAAGCGGGGGCCTCTGTAAATAAGATAACTAAATTTTATACAATCTAATTGGAAAACTGGATAAATGAAAAACCTCTTTAAATGGTACAAAGCCCTTAGTCCCTTGAGATCCCAATTAACCAGGTTTCACTGTATATATGATATATAATATATTCCACTGTTAAATGCCAAACCCAGAGCTTAAACAAACTGATGCGGGGAGCAATATCGGTAAAAGGAGGTCGGATCTGCGCTAATTCGTGCCTGCCAGGTAGTTGAGTCTGTGTTAACTCTTTTTTTAAATAAAATACTGGTAATGTTATTCACATTACTAATATTCCCTGTAACAGCTCTTAGTAAGCTTGAAATGCTTGCGTTAGGCCACTCCTAACTTACTCCTTTACGACAGTAGTCGAATGGCGGATTCGAACCCACGACCTATTAAGTTCGCGGTCCACATCCTTCTATTGGGCTACTGTCGCTTTAACTCAACTAATGCAAGCCAAGCTCGATGAGGTCTATCTTCATCAGTGATATAAAAGAAAAAGACAAAGAAAAAAGAAGTAAGAAGAGCACAGGCAGGTGCGCTGATTGTCAAAACTGTTATCCGTCATCATAACCATAAACGTAAATTATAAGTTGTATAATATATGCTACTTATTGTACAAAGGCTTCATAATAACTAACAGGATAAATATTATAGGGGTGTTTAGGTCTCGCGATATCGACAAATAACGAAACGATAGTGCGCGCTGCCTTAGTGTTAGCTGAAGGAATATTTGAGACGGGCGAAACTCTAGCCCGGCACCCACCGCTGCACCTGTTGCGCTCAATACTGCATGCGCCTTTGAAGCCACCTCGAGATGTTCCCGTCGATGTACACATTAAGGTACGTTATAACTCTCGTTTTCTAAGTTCATTATTTTTTTCTTTATCAGCCAATTCTACTGATCCCGCTCCCAATGTAGGGAAGATATAATATATATATATATATATATATATATATATATATATATATATATATATATATAATTCATCATCATCATACATTCAGGCGAATTGTGGATTCCAGCACAAGAGGTTTCGCACCTTTAACTATACTCTCTGTTGCAGGTATTTTTCCCCTGAACTACCATGATTTTGTATTGGAAATAATACCCATATTTCTTCCTTTTAATGTTTACATGTAGAAGATCTGCAGTAGCTTAGGGACTGAACAAAATGGTTATACCATTTACTATCGAAAGTCATGGGGCCTACCAACCATTTGGTTCAATTCATTTTCTTGAAATGAGGAAATAATTTCACTAGTAGTCGGATATTCTGATTATTAAGTCTTGATGGCAAAGTATTATTTACGGTGATCGCCATTTGGCACTCTAGTGTATATTAAGAGCCGGCTTTTTGTCGTTAATTTTGTACCATAACGCGCTTTTGTCAATTCGCAACCTGGCGCACCGCATTGGCCTCACCAAATAGTAGAATAACTATACCAAAAGGAAGCTAAACATTGCTGCTGTAAAGCAAAACACATTTGACAGCTCACTCACGCAAAGCTTAATGCGCCGCGTCTCACTCACGCAAAGCTGAGTGCCCGTGCAGCCCCAGCGAGCTAGAAGCCCGTTAGGGTGTTCGGTATTGTTACGCCGCGCTCAAATCAGCGCACTAGCGCCATCTAGTGTCAGGAACGAGAGCGAGGGGAGCTTTGCAGTAAATGACATCACAAATCTTTCGACCGACAGCGCCACCCGAAGAACTAAGTTTCTGGAAAATCTACACTCGAATACTCGTTGCCTGGCGCGCATAGGCGCTGCAAGATGCGATCGGAGCAGAGTTGAACTCGGCGACACAAGCGAAGCTTCGGAGCGGAATTAAGTGAAATAGTGTGTTTAATTATTAGTGTTTTTAGTTTTAATTTGTGTAAAGTAAATTAAAGTGTTAATTTAGGTAATTTTATCGGCAATTTTTATTGTCACGAACCTCAAGCTCGTAACAATTGGTGTCAGAAGTGGGATAAAATCATGCCGATTTTATCTAAGGAGAAAACGGAGGGTGTTCGTACCCGCAGTCAACGCCAGCATGAGACGGACCAGAGAAGATTTGGTGGTGCAACGCCGCAGACGTCGGAGGGCCAGCCGCCGGCAACGGAGGCCGGTTCGTCAGTAGCTCCTGCATCTGCAGCACCTGATTTAGGCGCCCTGATGGTGATGCTGCAGGAACAGGCTCGCCGACAGGAGGAACAGGTCCGTCGGTTGGAAGAGCAGCTGCGGGGCAGACAGGCAGAACAGGCCCGCCGACAGGAGGAACAGATGCTTCTCATGAAGGACCTTCACGCTACCTTCGGGAAAGAGATAAGGGAGGTGAAGGATAAGGTTGCTCAACATGAAAACCGCCTGTCGGAAGCTGAAACCCGAATTGACCAAGTGAACAATCGGGTTGACAACGTAATGGCTGACATGAGGAAATCACTTGACGAACTCAAACTTGGGGAGGGAACTACAGCTCCCGTAGTAGCTACTACACCTTCGCTACGTGGGTTCAAGGTGCCACCATTCGACGGGACTTCTTCCTGGTCAGCCTACAAAATCCAGTTCGAGGCTGTTATGAAGGCGAACGGCTGGAATAAAAGTCAGGCCATGACTGCTCTCACACTAGGCCTGCGCGACCAGGCCTTAACAGTTCTGGAAGCTCTCGGTGAGGAAGTGACTTATGAGCAACTCCTTGAGGCATTGGAGGCGAGATATGGCGACGCTCACCTGGAACACGTCTTTCGTGCGCAGCTTAAAGATCGTGTGCAGCGCATCAACGAAAACCTGCAGCAGTGGGCTCCAGAGGTGGAGAAGCTGGTGCGAAAAGCATACCGGTCTGTACCTGCGCTCATTGAGGGGAACCTGGTGCAGACATTCATCGACGGCATCCGTGACCTGGAAGTCAGAGCTGCTGTGAGGCTCGGGCACCACGAGACGCTTAAGAACGCCTTGGCCCATGCACTGGAGGTGGAAGCCGTGCGGCAGGATCATCGTTCCCATCGCGTCAGGGAGGTTGCAGCAGCTACAGTCCGTGACCGCAGCAAAGGATACAGCCCTAGGTGCTATGGCTGTGGGGAAAGTGGCCATCTTCGGTCCAGCTGCCCGAAGCACACCCTAGGAAGGGAAGGTGAACGGTCTCAGAAAGGAAGTGCGGCTAACAGCACCGCCCAGCAGCAGCAGGAATACGACTTTACTATCAGACACTGCAGCGGGAAATCTCACGGCAACACAGATGCATTGTCAAGAAGACCTTGTCCTGAAGATGGCAACCATTGTAGTAGGCAAGGAAAGGAAGTGGTATCCGTGAGGATGCTCAGAATAGACCACCTCAGCAACGGGTGGAAGGACAGCCTACGACATGCACAGCAGGAAGATCCGGACATCAAGCCGATTCTGGGATGGATGAAGGCCCGTGCTACCAAGCCTAAGTGGAAGGACGTCTCAGCGATGAGTTCAACCACGAAAAGCTATTGGGCCCAATGGGACAGCTTGCTGCTTCAGGATGGAGTCCTGTGCCGTAAATGGGACAATGGTCGAGGAGACAGCTGTCGTTTGCAAATGGTTGTCCCTAAAGCTAAAGTGCCGAATGTTCTACAGCTGTGCCATAATGGTCGTTCAAGAGTCCATCTGGGAGTTAAACGAACTCTACTGAAGGTCCGAGAACAGTTTTACTGGGTCCATTATCGTGACGATGTTGAGGATTGGTGTCGTACATGTACAAGTTGTGCGGCTGTGAGGGGACCTCAGACACGGAGTAGAGGAGCATCGAAATTGTACAATGTTGGTGCACCACGGGATAGGACAGCCCTTGACATTGCGGAGCCGTTACAGAAAGGCGCAAAGGGGACTCCTAAGATCATCCATGTGGATCGCCTAGCGCGTTATTATGGGGCCGATAATGCTCGAGACGAGCATGTCTTAGGAGGGGGGCAGTGTTACGCCGCGCTCAAATCAGCGCACTAGCGCCATCTAGTGTCAGGAACGAGAGCGAGGGGAGCTTTGCAGTAAATGACATCACAAATCTTTCGACCGACAGCGCCACCCGAAGAACTAAGTTTCTGGAAAATCTACACTCGAATACTCGTTGCCTGGCGCGCATTTACTTGAATGTTCGGGACGCTTCTTTGCTAATTATATAAATAGGCGCTGCAAGATGCGATCGGAGCAGAGTTGAACTCGGCGACACAAGTGAAGCTTCGGAGCGGAATTAAGTGAATTAGTGTGTTTAATTATTAGTGTTTTTAGTTTTAATTTGTGTAAAGTAAATTAAAGTGTTAATTTAGGTAATTTTATCGGCAATTTTTATTGTCACGAACCTCAAGCTCGTAACAGTATGTAAAAAAAATGCTCTCATATTACTGTCTCATGGATTATATCCCATGGATAAAAAATGTATTATTATAATAAACTGAGATACTATCCGGGGTAGTGGCCGTTCGATTTGTTTACCGCACGCTCTCCAAAACGCTTTTCTTAGCGCTAGCACAGAGCGTAAGTAGCAACACGAATGGGGCCTTTTTTTACTTGGTTAAGAAATTTTCACATTCATACGCAGTTCCTTAATTTGGAGGCGTTCGGCGTTACTTTGGTTGGCAACCAAAAGTGGTTGAGCCTTACCATCAGCGTTATACCTATCGCCTGGGTTACGCGCTATATCGCTGATTGTGGGCAATACGAAGAATTTTCTATGATATGAGATAGGTCTACAGAAAGTAATCGGACTAATAAGGGGAGGAGGTTAAACCCTAATTCTGTTTTCAGGCACTGGTCGGTTATGTCGACAGTGAACAATATCATATATTCGAGCTAACGAAACATCTACCCAGGTTTTCTATGTACACTTTGGCGCCACCCACTTTAGTAAAGAATAAAACAGACAGTTATGTTACATTTCGCATTACGGAAAGGATACAAAGAATTTGTATATGGATTAACCAAAATTTTCTATTGGAGCACGAGGTAGAAATAGAAAATGAAAACACAAAAGACCTTTACATTAGTTTCCTATGTCTAAGAGACAGGTCCCATTTGGATATGAGTTTTGCGGCGGATGGAAATGTCAAGTTAACAACTTCTGATATTGGATTAGCTGGTGACCTGATACAAAGTTTAGCGACTTACTTGAATTTGTCTGATTTACAGGTAAGGTAAAATATATATCTTTGTTATTTTTGAATTTGTAAAGAAACATAATACGACAAGCGACACAGAAAGTTTTGCGAAAATTGTTTTTTATTGTATTGATAAAAATAAAAATGTTCTAATTTTAAAATTTCCCTCCACATTCTACAAGCTAAATTCAAATATCGTGTTTAACTAAACGAACGTTGAGGGGGTGAAGTAAGAATTGGTCGCCCTTTGACTATTGTTAGGTACGGAAGGAACCGCGCTAGTAGTAAACGATTTAATTGAAGAGGCGAATTAAAAATAAAGAGATTCAGCACATATTGCAAATTGCATCAGGAATTCACAAGATGTTACACGAACATCTTCGCATGTTCGATAGTTTTGCGTTGGGTGTCGACCAATCTTATTGAAGCTATTGAGAAGCGCTGGGAAGATTTTGATCCTTAGTTTCTTTCAATTTCGGGGTGTTCGGTGTCAATTCTTTACCCTTTACCCCTATTGAAGAATGCTTGCCAGAAGTAGTCACTGCTGAACAAGCGACGCGGGGCTACGAGGTCTATTATTTTACTGTGACAACACGCCCGAACACTCATCGCTTAAAACGAGGGATTCCTGGGGAGCCCTGACTTGGCTCCGAAATTTTTTAAAGGTTTTCATTACCAAGAGATGCGGTAAAAGCGTTCGATCGTGCTGTAAAAGAGTCTGAGACGGGTTAGAAAGTGTTTCAAAAATTGGTTCAGACGCATGAAACTTTGTATATTTACGAGGGCGACACTGAAAGTTTTTAGAACTGGCCACTTGTAACCGATATAATAAAAAAATTGAAAATGGAATTCTTTACCAATATTGTTGTGTAATGTGTATGTATTGTATTAATTTGTCATTTGTTTACGATTTGGCGGAAAATTGTCTGTGTCACGTCAGAAGGAATTTAGCGCGAAAATTTTTTCGTAAAGTGATTTTTTATGACTTTCGATGTCATTTAAGTCAACAAGAAAGTTATAGTAAACTTCGATTGGCCTTTCACGATGAAGTCCCATCTTTTGCTTCTGTTTACAACTGGTTTAATGAGTTTAAGGTCGCACTAATCTCACCGATGATCTGCGTGAGTGATGGCCTTCTACTAGGCTGCACTAAAAGTATCGGGAATGGAATATTTCCACTGTTCCTGTCATATTAAAATCTTTTTAATTGAAAACTCCTTGGTTTTAAAAATCGAATACCATTTATTTATTTAAAAAAAGATTCTCGGTATTATCACAACGTTTAGTCAAACTTGTTTAGTCGTTGAGAAAATGGAATTGACTCGAGAAAATTCAAGAGCGATGATTTATTATGACTTTCGAAGTGGTTTAACACAAAACCAGTGTGTTGACCGGATGATTTCTGCATTTGGTGATGAAGCCCCATCCAAAACCACTATTTATCGCTGGTTTGCTGAATTTTAACGTGGACGTGTCAAGCTCAGTGATGATCCCCGTCAAGGTCGTCCAAAAACTGCAGTCACCCAAGAAAACGTTGATGCTGTGCGTAAGCTGATTGAGGAAGATCGACATGTGATATACCGCGAAATTCAAGCAACTTTAGACATTGGCATGAGTCAAATACAAATAATCTTGCATGAACAATTAGCATGCTAGCATACCATTCTGCATTAACCGTTCTTTGTCCCTCAAGAGGAATAGTCGTAACATGGCCGGTTTTGGAGACAAACGTGGCCACTATTTTTTTTTGCAACACTCCGTGAACGAACAATTTTTGTTGGCTTTAACTCATTTTCGAACACCCAAACTCGTGACTGGTTTTTTGTTTCGAGTTCGTACGCGTATATCCAGGATTCGTCATCTGATACGATGTTTTATACAGCATTTGAGGATCCTGCGTGGAATCCTTCGAGAGTTCTGACGCACCAAGTAACGCGAGCCACTTTTTACTCTTCACAGTGCGAATGCGGTATCCATCTGGAAAATAACTTTTTTGAACCTAATTGTTCATGCAAGATTATTTGTATTTGACTCATGCCAATGTCTAAAGTTGCCTGAATTTCGCGGTATGTCACATGTCGATCTTCCTCAATCAGCTTACGCACAGCATCAACGTTTTCTTGGGCGACTGCAGTTTTTGGACGATCTTGACGGGGATCATCACTGAGCTTGACACGTCCACGTTGAAATTCAGCTTACCAGCGATAAATTGTGGTTTTGGATGGGGCTTCACCACTAAATGCAGAAATCATCCGGTCAACACACTGTTTTTGTGTTAAACCACTTCGAAAGTCATAATAAATCATCGCTCTTGAATTTTGTTTCGAGTCAATTCCATTTTCTCAACGACTAAACAAGTTTGACAAAACCTTGTGACAAGACCGAGAATCTTTTTTTAAATAAATAAATGGTATTCGATTTTTAAAACCAAGGAGTTTTCAATTAAAAAGATTTTAATATGACAGGAACAGTGGAAATATTCCATTTCCGATACTTTTAGTGCAGCCTCTGTATTTTGAAAAGATATAATAAAACTAATAACTTGCTAGTTTGTTCAGTTTTTGATTTTCTAAGAACTTTCATTGTCACCCTAGTAGATGTTGATGGAGAGTTCTTCAAAAACTTTGAAAAGATCTAAATCTTTAACCACAGATTTTTTTAGAGTTCTTTCTGAGTGGGCCAAAGCTACCGTTGCCGTTACAGCCTATTAAAGTCCACAGCTGAACATCGACCCTCCCCCCCCCCCATAGAATGCCTCATATGGGGGATATTTACCATAGTTGCCATACTTGGCAAGCAGGTTAGCATCCGCAGTTTTTTTTTTATTTTTAGTCGCTATTAGGAAGACACTGTTGCCCATCTCCTGACTCTTACGATACTCACGGGATGGTACTGGGTGGGGGATATTCTTACACTGACACCGCCACTACACGGTTAAACTTATCCTACGGTATATTTTAACCTTTCAAAAAAAGAGAAAGATTATTATTGACATAGCTTTGGGCAGAGTTACCATGTTGTGGCAGTGTAAGAATATCCATTAGGTACCCCATAATATCATCCCGTGGGTGTCGTAAGAGGCGACAGCTCAAAACAATAAAAAACTGCAGTTGCATTTTTTTCGTATCGTATACGATAATGTTTGTGGCTTTTCAGTAATATAAAGAAAGTAACTGACCATGGTGGGGTGCGTATATCTATTCCATTTATTTTGTACTAGAAATTATTTTGTTCCTCTTCACCCCAAAATACTCTCACAAAGTCTGCTTTAAAATCATCAAAAGTTGTCCAATGCACACTAATAATGCGAGCCCAATATTTGGCTTCACCTATTAAGCACTCTTGTGCTATTGATATTTCAAGATCATTAAATGGAACTTTCCTTAAATAATTGGTGAGATCTTCTAAAAATGTTACTGAATAAGTATTTCCATTTCCAAATTTCAGCTTTTCTATTGTCACATTATGTATGTTATATAAAATGACGCGAAACAACCATTGGATGGTACACACGGTCAGTTCAAGTGATCAGTTCAAGCTAAAACCGTTGATATTTTTTTAAATAGTGGATTTTCGATATATCGAACATTATAAATATATTAATATCGGAGTTTTACATATAAGTTTATCTATGGACATATCGAAAATCCGATATTTTAAAAAATATCAACAGTTTTACTTTGAACTGATCAGTTGGAATGATCACTTTATCTTACCGTGTGTGGCCACCATATGACAAAATTCTCTTATGAGGCATTCTGAGGGGGAGGCTTATGTTCAGCACTGAACTTTTAATAGGCTGTAAAGGTAAAGTAATACAGAATTCAAAGACATTATAAAGCATATTAATGTCTATGAAAGCGTATCTTATCATCTGTAAATAAATTGTCATCATCATTATCATTGTATTTGTAATTTTCAACCCCCTACCGATCCATTGCTAAACATAGGTCTTCTCCAAGGAATGCCACATAGTGTGGTCCAGAGAAACCTGTATCTATTTCAAAACTATTTGTTTTACAGAAAAGGGCCATAAGAGCTATTTACAACCTAAAACCAAATCTCTTGGAAAAAAGTTTAATAACTTTGGCCTCTCAGTATATCTACGAAAATTTAATGTGTGTCCACAAAAACTAAGGTAGTTTTAGTAAAAAAAGTTGACATACAGTCTGTAAACACTAGGAACAAACACAAGCTAGTGATACCAGTTTCTCGACTCAACAGTCAGTAATTCATTATTGGGGCAATGTCTATGCTATTACAACAAATCAACCAAGTGCCAGAAAATATACAGGGTCTCTGTAATACCAAGTTTAAATATTTAATTAAACAAAAACCCAAAAAGATTATTATAACATAAATTAATATATGGTTGATAATAACCCCTGGGCATGAGGTGATCACTTCAAAGTGTTTCTAAAATAAAATTTATAAATATATTGTAATCATTCACATTGTAAAATTTATTTAAAAAAGGTCCCGCTGGGTTTCTTGCTGGTTCTTCCCAGGACAAAGGCTTTTTTCGAACCAGTAATAAAGTAAAAAATGACTTTCAATAAGAATTACACATCTATATTGAAAAAAAGTTATTCTGTGCTATCAAATTACTAAATGTCTTAGCAAGTCGTCGCTTCATCTAGTGGGAAGCTTCTCTACACTCCGCTAGCTGGTACGAGACTGCCACTCGAACCTTTATTCCCCATAGATTGTCGGCTCGTTTATCTACTCGTACATGGCTGGTCCACTGCTAAATGTTTGTTTGGCTTTATCGGTTACTTTGGTTAATTTAAAAATTTTGGCAGAGATAAAATAATTATCAATTTTATTTAAAAAAATACCAAATATTTTCCATTATCATAGTAAATCAGTACTTACCTACTAGTAACATTTTTGAAAATACTTAAGTATTTATTTACGCTGTGTTTGCACACAGACGCGTACAAACAGGCGGACTCAATGCCTCTGGGCGTTCTCTGCCAGTGTACCTCCAGGTCAATCAGTAAATATAAATATGGTGTAAAAAGCAAGTTTAAGAATTGAGATAACAAGAGTACGAATTTATCGTATATATATATTTAACATTATGAATAAATTAACAGAAAAAATGGCAGTTCTTTAGTTTTGTAGTGATATTTACTTGTGTGTATTTTAAATAATACAATCAGAACAAATATTTTCATTTGTAATAATTTAAAGGTATTCTTAATGTTTTTGACCATGTAGTACAGGTGTAAGAATATCACCATATTTTCCCATAGGTGTCTTAGTCAAGTCAATAGAAGGAAATAAGCCAGATGTACAATGGCATCTTAATATCATCTAGTAAATTAACTGTTATTTCCACCTCGTTGCTAAGCATGGCAACAGTGGTGGATGTCCCCCTTATAAGGCAGTCTGTTGGAAGGCTTGTTTTTATTGGCAACCTTTTATAGGCTGTAATAAATTAATTCTTATTTCATATTCTAACTGTCCTATTTTTTGACACTTCCTACTGAAAAGTCTTCTTGACTTTATTAGCAATTAATTACATTAAAAAAAATTAATGTAGATAATTTATTTTGAGAAAAACTACCTCTTAGCATCCTCTAGATGTTGTAAAGGCATTAAAGGGAATTTGAAATGGGGTATGGGCAACAGCATCTTCCTAGTAAAAACTCAAAATAATGAGTAACTGTGGTTACCAGACTCCCTACCATGACAATGCCAACAAATTGTGAAATTGTTTCCTGACTGGCCGTTGAGACAATGTGGCTTCTATGTACTACAGCAGTCTACTTTCGATATAATGTAATGAAAAAAAATTATGAAATTGCAATGATGAAGATCCATAGGAACAATTATTTGTAGGCTCTACAAACATTCGTTTCATGAGCAACACGAACCCACATCCAAATGCTTAACCACTACAATTGCCAATAGCAAATACTTTTCATAATCTAAAAAATATCAGAACAAAGAAAACAACAATTTTATTAAATGGGTAATCAGTTTATTTTTTAGAACACTTGACTTATATGCTATACAGGTCAAATCTCACTGACCATAAAGTTCTACAAAACCGACACACTTTATTGGGTTGAAAAAGAACATGTTATTGTGTGGTGGTTCTCGCTGACTCATCGCTTTAACAACTTCCTGTGCTATCACACCACCAACCACAGCTGCTGCACCAGATACAATTCCAAACACATTTGTAAGCAATGCATCACTAACAAAACCAACTGGTAATGAAAGCTCCTTAACTAACTCATCTCGCATACGTAGAAGAATTTCTGTGTCTGCCTTTCGTTTAGCTGGATCTGGGTTTCGGTTATATTCATCTCTGAAACGTAGCAGTATCTTCATAACAAAGTAAGATGGATCGCCTCGACGTAACCTAGATCGCAATTCAGGTTTCGTCCAATCAGCTGATAACGCGTTTTGTAAGGGCACGTATATAGCTCGCCGTTTTACCGTAATACTAACTGTTTCTCTTGCATTCTTTTCTGTGTCATCAGGGCCGCGTTTCACCGCTTTGTGCTGAACTATTTCTTCGGAATATTCATGATCTACTAAGTCAGCGAACATATAACCAAACGTACCCCAAACATCACCGCAAAGAAACTTCTTATTATTGTCACGGCAAATGTTGTTGATGCGCTCCAATTGTTCTTGTTTTAATCCTGTCGCGCATACAATATCAAAATTTGTAAAAAAACTATCGGGCAAGTCGTCTACTGATTTAGTTTCTGTGGTTATATCCACCATTGGGTTCAATGCTTTGGCTCTTTGCAAGGAAGCTTCCGCTCTATTCTCACCAATTTTGTCAGATGGAGCCAAAAATTGAGAGTACAGGTCGATTTCTTTAAGTTTCTCGTTATCTAACAGGCAAACACTTTTTACTCCAGACAATATTATGTTTTTAGCTGTTTCGGCGCCGAGACCGGAAAGGCCAATAATCAAAACTTTAGAAGCACGCAATCTTTTTTGTGATTCTAAGCCCCAAAGACGAATTTGACGATCATATTGTTCCGCCTCAGCTTCTGAAAGCTCAACTTCATTGTTTTCAACCATTTTTATTTCAATAATAACACAATTTCACAAATGCGGTTAATATTTTATGATGATTGATGACTTCTAAACCATAGATAAGAGTGTATATACGGAAACTTCTAAACTGAAGCCTAAACCTGACTAAACCACAGACTAGAGACGAAGCGTATATACTAGAACAGATACAGGGACTAAGTATTTAACGAGACTAGGTTGCACCTGTTCCAACTTTTAAAATACTCAGTCCGTCTAGTCTCACTGTGCCTACGTGTCGTAGGGGAGCGGGGGGCACGTTGTTACAGGGGTAAGAAGTTACACGCGTTTTTTACCGTGATTTTAAACTCTTTGATAGATATAATTGGACTCATTTGTTTTCTTATAACATCGTGCATTAGATAAAAACAATCAGTGACCCGCCAAGCGCTCAGCTGCTAGGTTGTGTGCGTGTGTCCCGATTTCAACCAAGTAAGTAAAAAAATCCTTTACGAAATTTTTGATTCCTGATGACTATATTTTTTATTTTGTCAAAATTTTTAACTTTGAACGTTCATAATATATCTACCTTTAATTTACAATATTGTATTATTCTACTATCGATATCCATTAATAATGACTTCAATTTATATTAAAAAACGTGCCATGGGGCAAGTAGTTACAATTGTTTGGGGTAAGTTGTTACATGTAACAACTTACCCTAAAAATATTACCATATCTGGTATTGTACCATTCGTTTTCTTATTTGAAAAATTCTACACATTCTTTGTTTTTTCCAGAATGAGAAACTATAAAAGAAAAACAGAAAGAGGTACAACTAGTAGAGAACTTTATGAATCTGCTGCAGCAGAAGTACTGCAGAATAAAACGAGCATTTGGAAAGCAAGCGAGATGTTTAATTTGAGTCCGATGTCCTTATCCTGTACATGTAACAACTTACCCTAAAAATATTATCATATCTGGTATTGTACCATTCGTTTTCTTATTTGAAAAATTCTACACATTCTTTGTTTTTTCCAGAATGAGAAACTATAAAAGAAAAACAGAAAGAGGTACAACTAGTAGAGAACTTTATGAATCTGCTGCAGCAGAAGTACTGCAGAATAAAACGAACATTTGGAAAGCAAGCGAGATGTTTAATTTGAGTCCGATGTCCTTATCCAGGTATGTCAGAAAAACCAAAAACAACGAAAGTTGTTCATTGGGTTACGTTAAACCTAAATTGGTATTCTCAGAAGAAACAGAACATAAATTAGCTTCTTATCTCTCAAAATCCTATCTACTCAAAAGTTCAGAAATATATTTTGGTTTACTACCAACAGAATTACGCAAACTAGTTTATCAAAGTGCTCTAAAATTCGATTTAAAAAATATTCCCCCCAGCTGGCATAAAAATAATATGGCTGGGCCGGACTGGTTTAAAAGTTTTATGGATAGAAATCCAGATCTCTATGAACACCAGAAGCTACATCTTTGAATAGAGCAACACCGTTCAACAAAACCAACGTTAAAGATTTTTTTGACAAACTGCAAGGCTTGTTCCAAAAATATGAATTCACTGCTTCAAGAATATGGAACGTTAACGAAACAGGTGTCACGACGGTACAGAAGTCTAAAAAAAATAGTTGCTGCCCGGGGTCAAAAACAGGTCGGTGCGATCACATCTGCCGAAAGAGGGACACTTATTACTCTTGCATGTGCCATAAATGCTGCTGGGAATTCAGTTCCGCCGATGTTCGTGTTTCCCAGAATGAGATACACGGATCTTTTTGTTCGTACTGGACAGTAGATGCGATTGGAGCGGGCAATTCTTCGGGATGGATGACAAGTAGAATTTTTAAAATTTATGGATTATTTCATTCACTATGTCAAGCCTTGTGCTGAACAGCCCGTTCTGCTCTTTTTGGATAACCACAGCTCGCATGTAAATTTTCATGTCGTTGAGAAAGCCAAAATAAACAATATAATCATGCTGTCATTTCTACCGCACTGCTCTCACAATTTACAACCATTAGATGTAGGAGTTTATGGTACTTTTGAAAACCACCTTAATCGAACACAGACAGCCTGGATGTATAATCATCCAGGAAAAACCATGACGATTCATGATCTTCCTGCCGTGGTGAAAGATTCACTGCCTTTGGCCCTAAATCCTGCAAATATCATGAGTGGATTCAGAAGAGTTTATTAAAATAACTAATTAAGAAGTAAAAGTGAATAATTTAATTACTACAAGTTGTTATTTGCAGACTAAGTCTGTGTTTTTATATAAGATTTAAAAATGTTCCTGCCAAAGTGATTTTCTACAATTTTTTTTTAAATAATTACCATAATAGATATTATAATTACTCATAAATGTTAGAAGACTGTATAAAGTGATCTCTATTGTTTATATCGTTTTGAAATACTAATAAAAAATATGTATCACTGATGATTTTGTTTATTTATCTACCGTAACATCGTGCCCCGATGATGTAACATCTAGCCCCAATTTCGGAGTAAGATGTTACAATCTACTTGTTTAGTTAAATTCTCCATTATGAAAAAATTACATAAATTTTAATAATTTTTCAGTCATATTTTAATAGCTAAATAGACATACTAAAATTACAAGAAATCAAATGTATAATTTATTTGATAGCTTTTGTCATATTAACAACTATCTAAAAATTGTAACAACGTGCCCCCCCCCCTCCCCTACTCGTATATTGTTGCCGTAGACTGAAGTTACTAGGCGCTCAACTCGGATCGTCTTTGCCTAAATCATTAGTTTGTCAGTCATTTAAATTTGAACCAAATTTCAATGCATATAAAAGTAACGTGACGCGCACTCGTATTGTGTAATAATATATTCTGTCCTTTTTTAACTAAACTATTCCGCGGTCTTTCTATCTTTGTCTGTCAATACTCGAAACTCGAGACTAGTCGGGACTCGGGACTTCAACCAAATACTAGTACAAGAGTACAAGGCAGGCGAGTGTCTGATGTCTACTACGGTACGGACTCATGCGAATGTGATCTCGGTGGACGCTGTTTTCATGTTTCCATGACTACATTACGTAGTATTCTATTGAAATATATTTTGATGAATATAAATTATATAATTAATATAAGTAAATGTATCATGCGTGCTTTCAGTAGTATAAAAATGCGTTCATTTACCCGCATTTACTAATCTATATATTTTGTAATTGTTTGTAAGGAGTAAACTTCAGTCGTGCGTCGGAGCTGACAAACACACTTTTTATTTTTTTGTTTTTCAGCACCATTTCTTTTTTTAATGTTGTTTATAAGTATTATGCAAACAATATTCTAAAAACATTATAATTAGTCTCGTTACTATTAAGATTATATGAAAATAATCTACTTTAAAATTCTCCCTTCCGTCGTTATGAACTGCATCAACCTATTTTAGAATAGTAAAAAAAAAACATAGCAGCTTAAAATTACAAAATCAATAGGTGAGTACTCCCATTCTAGTGTTTTTAAAACAAAATATGAAATAATTCTGTAAACGCGCCTTCTACATGTAATTTGAAATAGTACATCGATTAAAAAAAGTAGTATGGCGGAAGGGAGCTTTTGAAGTAAATTATCTTAATTTATTTCTCGTATAATCTTAATTCTCCTAATTAAGTTACGAGAATAATTATAATTATTTTGTAAAGTATGAAGGGAAGATTACAATTCATTATTGTAGGTTTCAGTAGTACGCACGTAAAACGTTACTTTAAACTAACCTATTCCAGCAATACTAAACTTTATGCGTACTTGATGCTTTATGGACTAGGTGGAACAGAGTATACAGAACAGGTATTTGGATTGAGTATTACACCTAATACTAAATTTACCTAATACGACTCCTCTCTACCACAGACCAAAGAAACCGATAACGATAATGACGGACGACGTTACGCTTGCTGAAAAATATCGATGTAGCGATATATCGGTACAAAATATCAAGTATCGATTATGAATCAAATAAGATATATTTCCAAAAGCAACAATATTATCGGTACTGATTAAAACTCCTTGAATTCAGATAATCCACTAAAATTTAGGACAGACAGCCGCCAGTTCACTTAAGTCATCTCAGAAAAGGCGCTATATTTTATTTGGTACCCATTACTTCCTCAGTTTCATCAAAGTGGTATCAGTTGTTAATCTTAGCGTACCCAATAATCAGATTAGATAGCACATCAAACAGAGGTTTTCTTTTGTTTCTTTCGGAATAATAAACATTGTTTTACATAAGTACGTTCAATTGTGTTTTCTATTTCGTTCCATTAAAAATCACTAAATTTTAATCAATGTTTTATTAATTTATGATTTTACATTACTGTCACTTTACAATCAGAAATTATGTTTCTATAACTTTTGTAGTTTGTTATTTATATGAATAGTAATAATGACAGATTTATTGCACTAGACTATAAAATAAACAGAATATAAATTCATAAAGTACAAAAATATTTTTTAAATTTAACCGATATGTTGATATTTTTTTTGATATATATAATCGATATCAACAGAATGACCGACGCCGAAACCATAAACAATTTCAATAATTTTTATATTTCCGAGCAAAACCATATTAAATATCATTCCTAAACCGTTGTTAAATCGTTGTATATTTTGAATTTTCTAATTGAAACATGCATGTTAGTATGATTTTGTAACTACAATTCATAACAATTAAAAACTTTTATCTATAAGTGTTATACTACGTGACTATTTACAATAACTGTCTCTAAGTCATAAAGCCGAATAACTCGTTTTGAGTCGAAAGACAAACTAGTGATTCTTGTAAACATGTAATTCTCGTAAGTAGTTGAGTTGTAGTTGTCAATACATTGCAATGAAAACAAAGTAAGAAAGAGAAACGAAACAAAATTTATCTTGTAGATGCTTTTTATTTTCGCATGCTATGGATATGGGATTTTATTTCACTGTTTATGACTTGATTTCAATTGATTTGAATAAAAACCGCTTAAACAGCACCCTTGTGCACGCGTATTGGACATCCCTTTTTGGTTATTTCGTAAAACTTTGTGCCTATTCAGCAATGACTGGTACACGTTAATATGCCTCAGTCACACGTTAGCATTGGTGTCGTGTTCGTGTCGCTATCTCTGTCTTGAGCACAGTTGGTCACAAAAGGTTTCGTTGTTATTGCAGTTAATTGCTAGTATTATTGTTAAGTTTTTTGTTTAGTGTTAAGTTTATTTTATTTGTGTCATTTGCTAGTGTCAGTAGGCACTTATTCGCCAAATATAATAGTAAACCCAAACATAATAGCCAAACATAATAGTACGTTAAATTGCCAGGCGAGAAAAATTATTTACGATTTAACGCAGTGTATGAAAAAAGAAAAATAAGAAGGCGTAAAAGATGTAGTTAAAGTTTATTTAAGAGTTGCTAACGTAACTGGTGTGTCCAAATGCACAGTACAGCGGATCGCAACCGATAGCAATATTTCGGGCTAACTTTCGGTATTTCGCACGCCTAGTAAAAAAGGTCTAGATCAAAACCTATTACTGATATAGATAATTTTGACCAAGGAGTAATAAAAAGATGCATACACCACAAAACTGAAAAAGAAATGTCGACCATAAACAAATTACTAGCGAAACTCAAACGGGATATAAATTTTCAAGGTGTAAAACGAGCTTAAAGACAATTGTCAAAAACTTGGGTTTCAAGTGGTGAAAGCCTGAAACCAATAGAATGGGTCTTATAGAGATCTTGTATTTGAAAGCAATGAAAAAATACAACGATGAATGACGGAACAGTTATTCATCATTAATACAGCTTCAGATTCAGAAAATGAGTCAGAAATAGAGAGCGATGATTACAATGATGAACCTATGCCAAGTACCTCACATGGTACGTAAGGAGCCGACGACTTTATGTTAGGGATTTCCCCCCTGAGCGACAGTGATTAAATAGTAATAAGTATATAAAAAGTGTTCAATGTAAATAATAATGTGTGTTTGTGATAAAAAATCTGCCACTATCGAAAGGTGAGGTATCGAAATAGAATCTTTAATTTATAATGGTTGAGCCACAGACTGTCCCCTCGAATTCTGCTTGAAGGATCATAAAATGGTCGCGCTAATGACCAAATGATGCGGTGATTCGATTCGACGACCTTATTATGCTGGATCGATTTTCTTGTTGGACTGTATGCGTGGTTTCTTACAACCAAAACGAGATGGCTTATGTGGCATGCGGCAGGTCTTGGAAGATGCACTCGCTCTTCCAAATCTACTATTTTGCCGGTGTTCTGAGGTGGAATTCTACTTGAGCCGTTAGAGGAGAAAAATTTGGCAAAGAAATAAAACGGCTCTAGGCAAATTAAGGAGCACTTACCGGGGTGGGATTCCTTTTGCTGGCGGCGGCGCTCCTGGTGGTGTGATAAGTTGGAAGAGGGCGATCGACGGCAGCGGAAGTCCTTTTATAGGTCGGCCACTCTGTACCACCTCCATCTCGGCGTGGCGCGTGTTTCATTGACCGAAAATCATGCCACATTATAGACTCCACCCTCCCCTCTTCAGTGTGTGCAGAAGGAATGCGTGAATAGGACGGAAAGAGACACTGGCAAACAATAACCAAACGAACAAAATGTGGCAGAACCTGTTTCTTTTTTCCGCGCAACCATATATGTTATTGTTGTAGCTTTTTGTCTCCGAAGTGTTTTTTTGACATTTATTTTATTTTTTCTAATTGGTCACACTATTAGGCCATCCTACTTTACCATATTGTTGTTGCGTCATATTATGAGGTTTTTGAAAGATTTAGTATTCAAACATAAAGGGCGCGAGCTAGTTGACGCCGGGAGCGCGCGGGCAACTTACCCCATAGCTCGATCATACAGGTGGCCGCAGTAATTTCAAAGGGGCAAACGGCACGAGAAACGGGGATCTCAAACCACTACAAGCTAACCACACGCGTTGTAGTGGCGTCTTCTGAAATAAATGTAGAAGAATTTATTTTATAAGGCAATTTACTATGTTTCCTAATATATAGATATTTATACAACATTGAAATATATACAATATTTAAAAAAAAACTATATCAGAATAAAATAAAAAAAATCAGATACAAACCGTTATCTAAAGGCAGTATTTGACCAAAATAAATAAATAATTTAATTTAAATAATCATGGCCCATAGAATGATTCAAATGGTTTTCTTTTTGCGCATCATAGGACTATGATAAAAATAAATATATAAGTGTGTTGTAATTCTTGAGGATTAAACCCCGGATACAGTAGGGGACATTATTTTATCCCGTAACATGACGCAGAACACTCAATCTACGTGACGATGCAATGTTGCACAGTTACCCGCAACATGGCGCCTGCAACATTATACGTGTCGCGGGACATGTTGCGTGTTCCCGCTCCGAGAGCAAGCGCACATGTCCCGCTTCAATTTCGCGCCATTTTGTTATTGCAATGGCAAGTCTGATATGAGGGCCAACAGCGTTCCGTAGTATTGTATCCTGTTTGGCTATGGAAGGTCTGATAATTTGTAGTAAAGTTTCAAGAATGAACACTGTTGATATTCGAGTAAAATTCACAAAAGACCCATCAGACATTTGGAGGTTACTTAAAGTATTAATTCTCATTTCTTCTCGTTGTAGTAAGAAATTCCGCATCAACCACCTTCTCTTTCGCTTACGTTTCACTCCCGAAGTAAGTACTATGTACGCAGTACTAATTGCCATAATCTCCTCAGGCGACATTTCTATAAACATTGATTAGTGTGGCCTGCAAAATGTTCCGCGACATACGTCTCGGGACATTCCACGTGCGACATGTTGCGCAACATGCCTCTCATTTTGTCCCCAAGTATATCCAAGGCTCCAAGTATATTAAAGATGAGTATTTTTTATATAGATAGAGTTATTGTATAGATTAGGGTAGTCTACAGTTTCATTGCTACAGGATATGAAATAGAAGCATTTTCCAGCTATGTTTTACGTGTTTTGCGACCGCATGGCTCTTGCGTTTTCTTAGTCTTTACCTTCCTCCAGACGGTACGCACTTATTATTATGTTAAACTATTAGCATGGACAGAGTGGCACTATATTTCCTGTCCTTTTGGTAACTTCTAGAATATACGGAAATAATACATATAAATACAGAAAAAAATGTCATTTTAATTTAGATAATGTATAAATAAACTTCAGATCACAGTCAGTCTATATTTACAAAAGAACAAACTAAGATTACGCTTATTCTTTTTTATTTAGAATAATCAATAATGAATGAAGTTACACGAACAAAATTTAATTAAAATTTCCTCTACTTCATTCGTTGCGACTCCATCCTACTCCACTCGGACACCAATGGATGTAGTCTTCCATTAAAAGCCACAAAGCAGCCTTTAAGTATATTTTCATGTACACTCATCTCTTGTTATGCTAGTGAATAGTTGAACCGAATTCTAAATTGCTCATAATATACTTTATTTTACAGTTTTTAACACCAAATGTTTTTTTTAGTCAATTGCACAATTTCCTGAAACAGAAGAAAAACTTCGAGAAGAAATGGCTAATGCGTCCCAGGTAGGAGAGGCAAGATCTCGTCTAGCAGCCGAAACCGCAGAAAAAGCACAATTAATTACGGCATTGTTGCCCGCAGCGCAGGATGCAGCTGCTTACGACTTGTTAGTACTATTTATAATTTTAAGTAAATTTTTTTTGGTCACTCAGCTTTTTCAGCACTCGTAACTTATGCTTTCGATGGTGGTTTATGTTTCAAGTTTACTAACGTAAAATGGTATCTAACAAAATACACGTCAGGCTAGGCTGTATGTGTATATATCTTTTTGCCTTTAAATGAAAAACAACTAACAACGTAATCAGTACTCTTATTAGTTTGTGAACGTAATCTTACGACTGGGCCCAGTCAAACGCCAATTTCTCTATCTAGTCTGTGACTGGGCCTAGGGCGGCAGAATTTGAAGATTCCAAAAATTGGAATTCAAACATATTTTATGAATGGCTATATTTTTTAATATTTTTGCTTGGAGTAATGTTTATCGTTACTTATACGTTTTAATATAATTAGTAAATTATATGCCATTATGGTCATCTTAATTTATGAGTTTCGACGTTGAGGGTCGTGAGTTTGATTTTTTGTTTTCACGTAACAGGCATTTGTTAAAATTTTAAGTTATAGCTTATATATGTCCCACGGCTGGGCACAGGCCTCCTCTCATTTATGAGAGGGTTTTAGGGCAAGCAAATGTCCGCCGCGCTGCCCCAATGCGTGTTGCGAACTTCATGTTCTTCGAAATATTTTTTTCTTATTTCTCAGACATGCAGGTTTCTTCACGATGTTTTCCTTCACCGCCGTGCACGTGGTAAATCAGCACTTAAAATTGCAATTACCAAATTTCATTGGTGCCGGCGGGGATCTAACCCGGTTTGCTCACGTACTGTGAAATTTACAGCGAGCTAGAGCCGAAGAGAGATCGGGCCGAGGGCCAACGCCTTTACGAGCTTAAAACATCAACAACAACACATCAAACTTCCTGATTCCGGGCTGCTTCTTAGAATTTCTTGAAAGAAAAACCCAATAACTAATGTTGGGCATGACTGTTTGTATGGTTGGGGAATTAGAGGTTAGGCACATTATAATATTTTGTTTTTGTATAGGAAAGAAATGTTGAATCGCTATAAAGAAGTAATGCTCCTAAATGAGGAATTGTTAACTGGATGTCATGTGCGTCGTGCGACCCAAGAACAGGCTGTAGCTTCTCTTAAAAATTTGCACATCATTCTTCGACATGCAGCCAGGCTAAGAGGTATAATATAAATAGTTTTCATCAAATATAACATTTGTTTTTTTTATCTAAGATCACGCTTACATAAAAATATTGTTTCGTCAACCTAAAATATGTATAAAGTGATTACATCAAAAACATAAGATGACTATAAAATTATTATTTTCAGTTGGAAAATACAGTAAGGCTGCAGTCACTGCTTGCCGAAAGGCTGTCCAAGATAATAACGTTGAAGCTTTGATAAAAATTCTTCAGATCGGCGATTGTTGAATAAATCTACAGTCGTCATCATCAGGCATATTATTTGTAAGAAAATATTTCTTCTTGAGAATACGTCATCTAATCTATCTTTCTTCTTCTATCTTACCTTTCTTGCGAAATTCGCCCATATCGCAATGGACTGCCGGGTTAGAAGAGTACAAGTGATAAAAGTATAGCACATACCAAAAGTGGCGAACATGTGTATCAAAAGTGTGTTTTTTAAGGTAGTATTTTGGCCTTGCCCTATCACATCGTGCAAAACACCATGACGATTATCATATTATAAATCATAATCATAAACACTCACGCCTGTCACCCAGAGGGGTAGGCAGAGACTACGGACTTCCATTTGACACGATCCTGACATACCTCTTTCCCCTCCTTTACATCCATATATCTACGCATACATGCTCGTCGGTTAAGGGTACTTTTAACGTGGCCCATTTTCAAAATATCGCCAATTTGGTCGATAAACTTTTTTCTAGGGCGTCCCTTCCCGACTCTGCCGTTCACATCTGTCATATAAATTTGCTTTGTACTCTTTCTAATCTAGTGAAATCATATATATATATATATATATATATATATATATATATATATATCGATACTTTTTAAAAATATCGATCAGTGCACATAGTCCGCTCGAAGCAGAGCTTTGTAAGAGGGTGGTGCGTACTCAGACGCACTTCTATGTAGGAAAGATGTCTACTTAGCCACCATACCATCCAATCAATCTGTAGGTATTTGTTAAACATTTCAAATTACATTATCAGCAGTTATTTGGGCAGTAGAATCGAATCGAAATCGAATTAGTAATAAGAGTGTAAAAAAATAAATGGGTATTGGTTTTTTTTATAGAATAAGGGTGACAAATGAGTACACAGTTCACCGGATGGTGATTGGATGCTGTGACCCAAAGACATCTACATGTATCCTCGATTACGAATCAAAATGCAGATGCGTTGTAACCCGTGAGGACTAAGATGGAACACCTCATTTCCAGTACCCAGGAAGGGTTCTCTACTGTCACTATTCGAAACACAGCAGCGTTAAGAGGATACCTTGAAAATTAATCGTAGTTTTGGGGCATGGCTTATCACTTTGTCTGCGAAGCTCCCGGACGACTGAGGGAGTGTCAGAATGAAAGCGACGCAATGACTTCATATAAGCAAGTTATGAGATAGCTATACCAAGCACGCGCTCGGAAAAAACTAAGTATGTGCTAAACATTTTTAACAGAACTTTGTTATGGATTAAAAAATGGTTTATGAGAACTTAGATATGATTATTTACTATAAAATAATTTCATGAACTTATTCGTAAAAATATTGTGGTGTCATGGAGAATTGTGGTTTTCTATCGAGAAAATTACGTGTTATCGCAATTTTCTTTTATGAAGTTCAGGGTTATATAGTTTAAAATCATATACCAAAAATTTGGTTCGTAATCTATAAAACTTAAAAAATATATGTGAAATAGAAAAACTACCAAATTTTTGAGGTATCACCTTAAGCTGCTATTTTACGCCGGTATTTTGTAAGAGCGTGGACCTCTCTCGGTCGAGCCTACCCATTCGTGCTACAACTATACCAGTAATATAGTTGCAACATGTTTCTACCACGTATAGTTTGGAGAAAACTTCATGTATGAAGGCTATTAACCTTAAGCTTATACTCTAAAGAAAAACTTGTGAAATAAGATAATTGTTTTATTGACGTCACAAAATATGCTATCAGTCTGTTTTATTGTAAAATAGAATTGAATGTTAAAATACGATAAATTAAATGTGTTCCTACAGATAAGATGGTGTTTGTACTATTGATTTCAATTCCTTTATTTTATTAAAATATAAGTTGCTCTTTTTCAATGTCAAGTAAGGCCCCTAAGATTTATTACAATTTTGCTGAAAATAATCTATCACATTTACACACAAATATTTCACGCGATCATAATATAAATAATTTCATTTTTACCCCTAAAATTAATACCTAACATCGTAATACAAGTTATTATATCCTCAAGCTTATTTTTGGGGAACAGAATTTCATAATCAAGCCAAATTTCGATTATCTACGTTACTAGAGATTATTCCTTAAGCGTTCATTTTGTTGAATTTGGCATGGAACACTAAAAGGTCAGTTATAGAATAAGCTTTTTAAGGAAATTTTCTTACACATTTAATTCTAGCTTACGGCTGGTTTTTCAATCATCAGATAAAAGTTATTTGTAAACTAAATGATAAACATGACTTGCCAATTCAGCTTACTGTTTGGGATCAGTTAATCTATGTTGGTTACTATGGTTCCATTGCGGGAATCCTATTCAACAACTATTTTCTATTCATAGAACTGTAATTTTAATTATTTTATGTTGCATTTTTTGCTTACTTCAAAAAAGAAAGAGATTTACAATTTGAGTGTATGACTTTTTTTTTTCAAAAATGGGCTCTTTAGTTAAGACCTTTATCTGGCCCGAGGGCAAAGGTGAGGTCTACGATGAAGCGAGTTTGCTCAGGAGAAGCCTATTAACATGCACCTTGAAGAGGTTCCAGGTTATGCGCACTCAGAAAAATAGACGCCGGTAGGGCATTCCACTCCTTGCATTATAAAAGATGACTTACAGCGCTTATTGCGAATATTCGGAATGTCAACCAAGTGCGGATGGTAACCTGCAGTATGTCTGGTGCTCCGATAAATTTTGTAAGAATGTTACGCGATAGCTTTGTCAATTGTGAACCATTTTTAATGATTCGTTTATATTAAGTAGGTTATCCTTTGGAGGATAGAATTTTTCTGTAGATTTGGAGGAAAAATTTAATCTTTATTGGAACTACGTAGACGAGATTGTGATATTCCTTACTCCACTCAAAAGGGTAAAAAAAATTAATTGTTCTAATCACTACAAGAAATAAATAAATAAATAAGTGCCAAATTAAGATTTTTTTTTTATAGAATAAGGGTGACAAATGAGCACACAGTCCACCTGATGGGAAGTGGATGCTGTGGCCCAAAGACATCTTTCTCATCATCATTTATCATTGATTAAGAATCAAAACACAGATGCGTTGTCATCCCTGAGGACTAAGATGGAATGCCCTGTTTCCAGAAAAAAGGTTCTCCGGATCTCTACACTCACCATACGAAACACAGCAGTATTAAGCTGCTATTTTACGCTGGTATTCTGTGATAGCTTGGTCCTTCCCCGGTCGAGCCGAACCATTCATGCTACAACCCATAAAATAGCTGCAGCGCGGCTCTACCACGTGTAAAATTATTTTTTTTCTTTGTAATTGGCTATTAATTTCTATTTAAAGTTAAGTTTATCCTATGAACATCATTTATGTTACGATTGCAAAACCAGCCATTATCATAATTGGATATAACAGTCAAACTCAAACAACATTAACACATTTGCAACTTGCTTAATTCATAACTAAAGAAAATAACAATTTTAACATTATCACACATCACACAGCAATCTGCTTAGTGGCGTAATGCACATCATCAACACTGACATTCAACAAAAGCCTGGGTTCCGCTGGCTTCGGTTCCATCAGCAACAGTTTGACGGCGGCCAGTCGAGCACATATTGCTTGCGCCTGGGACGGCGTGGGTGCTCTAATACTAACAGCCGATTTGTATGGACGGCCATCCAAAGCTACAAGGGCTGCCGCTGTTCCTAATGCTCGGGATAATGTAGTTTCATCCGATCCTGTTCTTTCAACCTGTAAAAGAATACAAACTTAGGAAGGATAGGTTATCCCAATAAAATACCCGAAGTGAGATGAGCACACAAAATATTATGGATGGTCAATTGACTTTCTTCTGTATCGGCATGTATGCTCTGCAAAGAGCCTCACTCTTTGCAGAGCATACATGCCAATACAGTCAATATCAATGGTACAAGTTTTGGACAAGGGCCTGTTTCATTAAATTGATTAATCACACTAGAAGATTTGGTGCTATCCGTCGCGGGCTGAGCATTTCTGACATAAACAAGATGGTAAAATCCACATCTGTTGGAGCTCATGACACTTTGTGGCACTTTATTTATTTTAAAACATCATTATACCTTCTTCTTCATCTTTAATATATTATTTAAAATGATGATAAAAATACACTAAATCCGAATAATTTTAAACAGACTTCAAAAAAGAGGAAGTTCTTAATTCGATTGTATTTTTTATGTGTGTTATCTCAGAACTTTTTTTAGGTGATCCGATTTTGATGAATCTTTTTTTTATTTGAAAACTGGTGCTTTTCATATGATTCCATACAAATATGATCAAGATATGACCAGTAGTTTTTGATTTATCCTCAATAATGCGTATTTAACTGATTTCGACGACATTGATGATGAATTTTACCATTTGTATAATCTTTGTTTAAATATATGGCTATCTATGTCATTTACATTCCATGGCTTCCCTACATGATAGATGAAGAGATTAAAAAATAGATTCAGTTGAACAATTGATATTTCTTTAAATATATGGCTATCTCAGTCGCCTGTTAGACATCTACAGGCTAACGGATTTTTTTATGCCACTAATACTAGGCGAACTTTATTACTAATTTGAATAAGGCGTAATTAATAATATAATCGATTCTATATTTTGTGAATATTGTATTTTTCTATTTAATTTGTTTTTAACTACTAAATATATTTGTTTTGCTATAGCGGTGACCATTATCTTGTTTGTGTGTTTTTATCATATCAGGTAAGTGTATATAATCCTAAATCAACTCTAGGGTGGATATATGGAAACAGCTGTCCCCAAACAAGGTGGATAAACAGTTCAACAAAAAATGGAGGACAGTTCAAAAGAAAATGTATTCATACTTTAATAACCACAAATTTATACAAAATTCACATTACGTATTGCATAACCAAATTAAACTTATTTGTTTTAAACAACAATAAGACATTTATAAATTCTGCAGTATGTCCAGGAAATGACCAACACTAATTTCATTATTGAGTAGAAGTAATTGTATATCCTTGATAAA